CCACAGATGGCTCTAAAAATTATTTTCATCAGTAACTGAAAATAGCAGAGCCAATATATCCACCTATTGTTTTATTCATCCAGCCTCTCCTGAGGCCCTATGCTATTTATTCCCTTTGGTGGAATTTAAGAGCAAATATTCCAAGGAAATCAGCATAGGGTGTGGCAAAAAAAATTTTTTTTCATACAATACCTAAATCTTAAGTGTTCAGTTTTCACAGCTATAATTTCAGGAACAGTCATATGTTTTATAATGTTGGCCAGCCTTCCAGGGCAACTTGAATGAAATATATATCTGACTTTTGCTTTAAATCACAAGACAGGAAATCATTTTAAAAAAGTAAAATGTTGCCATCATTGGAGTAATGCATGAGTTAGGCAAGAACCATCAATGGATGCTAAAATTACTGGGTTAAACATTTGAAGAGGAAATGAATATTTACATAAGCTCAAAGTATCTCCCCACAAATTACTTATTAATTGCTAAGGGGAAAATACTGACTTCACAGTGGAGAAATCCTGTGAATGCTACCTTTAATATCACTAACAATCAGACACACAGACATCATGTGCCACCTAATGTGACGTGCTGGGGATAGAACGTCATTTCCATGGGGTTCCTGCCAAAAATGAACACCCTGAACATAGTTATGAAGAAACAGCAAATGAACCCGAATTAAGGGGTAATATTTCAAATAGCTGGCCTGTACTCTTCTAAACTGTCAAGGTCATGAACGCCAAAGAAAGGCAAAGGAAGGTGGAACGGTTCTAGATTAAAGGACACTAGAGAGACATCACAATTAAAAGCAATGTGTGAGCCTGGGTTAGAAAAGCAAATTTGTTACACAGGACATTACTAGGACAATTGGCAAAACCTGAACAAGGATTGTAGATTACAGTTTTGTAACGACGGTAAGTGTCCTGGTTTTGAGGGGTGTATTGTGGTAAATGTAAAAGGAAGTTCAGTGTCCATATGCTTAGGAAGTACACACTAGCATCCCTAAGAAATGCCCTGGGGGTAGGGCAAACTTTAAAGTGAATGCGGCACTTGCTTTGTTATTCTTGTTCTGAACTGTTTTTTTCTGCAAGTTTGAATTATTTCAAAATAAAAAAGTAAAAAAGAACAGTTAAAATAAAAAGATGCGTTCTCTATGGTTTGCTGATTGGAACTCACTGAAGAGTTGTGTAGGTCCAGGGTTGCTAATGTCAAGCAGGAATTCATAGGACCTGTGGCCTGGAATCTTGGTCAAAAGTGTGCAGTGGCAAGTTTTGAAGAGACTAGGAATAGGTCTGAATCTATCTTTGTATTTGCTTATCTTCTCTCATCATTTTCCTTCAAAAGATGACAGGGACGTGAACTTGCCAGCCATGCTCATACTAGTGTCCCTAGGTTGGGCCCCACTGTGGGCCCTGACGACTTTATGCTGGAGAGGCCACACGGAGCAGAAACACCACTGCTGGTGATATTAATGGTAAGGAAATATTATTTAAAATAATGGTAGAGCTTTAGCTGTACAGCAGAACTAATGTAGCTGTGGGGAGGGGTAGTCACTGGCCAGCATCACTGATATCCTCTAATCCCAAAACTGTTTTGTCACTCTGCTTGAGCCAGACAGAATTCTCTATAGCTTTGTTTATTCATAGCCTTGTATCTTTCTCAAGTCTCCCTTCAAGCACTGGCCAAGTTCCATTACAGTGCCTTACCCTCTGCTTGGGCCATTCATCCCAACTGTAACCACCAACAAATAGCTAGCAGGCACAAACCTTATACAAAGATGACATTTAGCAGGCAGCCACCATCCTGGAATCTACCAGGAAAGTCACTTACACATTGTCTATACCTCCATTTCTCTAGCTATAAAATGCTCCTCTGAACAGGCAGAACTTGTCGTGTTCAATTTGGGCCACATCCAGTCAACACGTTAAAAGGCTTGTGCAGAGAGGGAATATTTCATTCGGTGATACTTTCCCTGGCCTAAGGGAACTTATAACATAGGTGGAAAGGCAGAAACCATCAGATGTTAAATTACTTGTGCAGAGAATTGATGTGAGAAATTGGAAATCTTAATCCTGGTCTATCATGAATTCACTGCATCACAATAGCAAATAGCACGGTCTCCTACAGCTTCATGCCTGAGGTATAAAAAAAAATGAGGGGTTTGGCCTGGATGACAATAATAGCTGAAGGTCACTATTCACATATTCACTGAGCATTTATTATGTACCAGGCCCTATACTGAACAAGGATTAACATTTTGAATCCTCACAATACTGTTCAGAGGTAGGTACCACTATCACCCCCATTTTACAGATATTCTGTGAGAAATTTCAACTCCAGTGTTCTCTAATTATGGGATGTCGAGTTAAGTAATACTGTAAACTGTATTTTCCAAAATGGCCATAGTATTTCCCACCCCACTTGCTCTTTGTAAAGTGTGACTTTGACATCCTGCCTCATTGAATTTGGGTGCGCTTGTGACTAGAGAGGTGATGTGACTTCTGAGGCTAAACCATAAAAGCCAATATAGCTTATGGTAATGTCTATTGTGGCACTACTGATCACCAAAAATGTAAGTTTTACTTCGCTTTGGTAAGTTGTAGTGGCCTAAAACAACACCCATTTATTAGCTCACAGTCTGCAGGTCAGAATTCTGGGCATAGCCTGACTTGGTTCTCTGCTCAGGATCACAAAAGGCTGAAATGAGGGTACTGGCTGGACTGAGCCCTAGGGGAAAATCCACTTCCAGGCTCATCCGTGTTGTTGGCAAAATTCAGTTCTTTGTAGCTGTAGGACTGGAGATACAATCAGCAACTAGAAGCTGCCCAAATTCCTTGCTATGTGGCCACCTCCACCCTTGAGGCCAGCTACAGAGAATGTCCCTCTTATCAAATCCCTCTCACACTCTCTGACTTCTGTCTCTGACCCCTAAACTCAGATTTAAATGGCTCATGTGATTAGGTCAGGCCCCCTTGGAGAATGTCTCTATCTTAAGGTCAACTGATTTGGACCTTACTTACATCTGCAAAATTCCTTTTTTTATATAATCATGGGAATGAAATCTAATCAATTTCAAAGGTTCCACTCAACTCAACGAGGAGATCATGCCAGGGTAAGGGCCACTGGGGGTCATCTTAGAATTCTGCCTACCTCACAGCTTCTGTTTGATTCTCCTGTTATGCTTGTTCTTGCAGGTTAGCCACCTTTGCTGTGAAGAAGCACAAGCAGCTTTTGGAGAGGAACTGAGGCCTTCTGGCCATCAGTCCTAGCTAAGCTCCCGGCCAACAGCCAGTATCAATTTGCCAGCCATATTAGTGAACCATTCTGAAAGGCAATCTTTCAGTCTCAAGCTGAGCTGCCCCAGCTGGTGATGCAAGGGGCAGATGAGCATCCTATTGAGTCCCACCGAAATTGCAATTTGTGAGTAAAATAAAGGATTGTTGTTCTAAACCACCAAATTTTGGGGTGATCTGTTACACAAATATAGGTAACTGAAACAAAGTAACAACTCAAGTAAAATGATTTACAAGTACTGAAAGCTTTTTGTGAACCTGGAGTGGTAACATATTTCTTCTAGGACAATGGAGCATCTGGCAGTGTAGGCCTAAAATGTCATTCAGCTCATGTTTGCTGATTCATTAATTCAAACTTACACTGAACTGATTTACGCCAGCATGCCAGTCATCCATATTTGAAAGCCTAGCATTTTAAAAGGGTTATCTAAAAATTATGCTGCTTTCCTTTGAGCAAAGGCTATACTATAGATTTTTAAGCTACATTTGTAAAATATTTGGGATATAAGTGATCATAGATAATGACTGTATTAAGTTTTAAAGGCATAATGTGCTTGTTTATGAAGCACTAAAGTATTAATATTTCAATGTATATTGGCTGCTCAACAATTGCTTTTATTGAAAAAAGTAAAAAACACTATGAAAATAATCAGTTTTGCCATTAAGAATTTTCATCAACAGATATTAACTATTAGGTGAAAGACTGCCAGAGAACAGAATATCCATATACTCTCAAAGAGGCTCCCCCTGGATTATTTGTTGATTACAGAGCGATAAAGGTACTTTTATGATGCAGAAACCTAGTAGACACTCCTTAACCAAATGACCAAATTTAATATTACCAATGATGGAACAAAGTGATGTCATGTGCCTCCCATTGTGATGGACCAGGAATAGCATGTAGTATTCTTGCCAAAAAATGTTTACCCTAAATCTGATAATGAGAAAACAGACAAGTCCAAATTAAGGACACTCTGAAAAACCAGACTTGTACTCCTCAAAAATGTCAATGTCATGAAAGACAAAACATGCTGGGGAACTCTGAGATTAAGCTAAAAGAGATGATAACTAAATGTGAATCTTGACTGGATTCTGGATCTTCCTCCTCCAACAAGCCATAAAATTATAAAACTTAAATATGTACTACATATTAGATAATAGTACTGTACTAAATATTAAGTATCTTGAGTGACTACACTGTATACTGTAAGTAGGAGAATGTCTTTCTTAAGAGCCATATGCTGAATTTCGGGGTGAAATGTCACTGTGTCTGCAACACTCAGGCAAACTGTGTCAGGACTAAAATTCTGTCCCTGGTTGAAGAATTTCCTATCAAGCTCTGAGAGTCAACACTGTCTGGACACAGACTGGACAGAACTGGCAGTTTCCCTTTGTATAGTTGTAGAGAAGCAGGCAGCTGGACACTCAGCTCCCTGGCCTGGCATGTGGAACTCTGAGATCCTTAAGGTGGCCACAGCATGATGGAGAGCAAAGGACAAGGGCATACTCACACACGCATGCACGTGCGTGCCCACACTGAACACATTTTACAGCAGTCAAGCGAAAGCGCAAGGGCAAGGCCACACCTGCCACTTGCAAAGACACGCATGACAGCTGCCGGTGCTGACCGGTGCACTTTATGGCAGTCACATGAAGGCAAAAGTGCGAGGCCACTGGCTGCCTGGTGCCCTTGACAGCAGTTGCGGGAAGGCGCGAAGCCACGGACAGACCCTGTATCAGTACAGGCTCTGAGCCCGTCACTGTGGGCAGACCGTTCATTTGTTCATTGATGCTCGATGATCATGGCGGTGGAGGTGGCCCTGTGGCAGAGGGCTAGGGACTACATGAAGAGCAAGGAGCTCCTGGAATATCTGACCAGCACGCACTTCTGGGGTCCTGGGGCTTACCACTGGCCGCCTTTAAGGACATGAACGCACGGCCGGACATCACCAGCGGCCATATGACGACGGTGCTCGTATACTCGATGGCCTTCTTGCGCTTCACTTACCGTGTACAGCCTCGAAATTTACTGTGATGGCGTGTCACGGCACCAACGTGGTGGCACAAAGTGTGGAGGCAGGCTGCTACTTCATTTACCACTATGGTGGTGGCGCTGGGCCAGCCACCACCCCCATAGCTCCTACCACCAACACTGCTGCTGCCACCACTGAGATTTCTGCAACCGCCAGTGACCCTACTGCTGCCAGCTCCTGCTAGGCGCCTGTTAGCCCCAGTCTGCAGCCCCTGAAACAAGACTGAGAGGGCCAGGTCAAAGCTCTGCAGCTTGCAAGCATGGAACTATTATTTCTTGGAAGATAAGACCTATGAAAAGTCCGGTTTGGACTCTACAACAAATCTGATTTAAACTTGCAGTTGGTTAATAAAAAAAATAACACCACAGTACTGAAGTTGTTCAGTGTTATTTATTTTGTGAGCTGCAAAAATGTTTTTTAGAAGGTGATTATAGATTGGCTGATCTTCCCCTTCACGTGACCTGCAATTTCCCGATTAGTGTATATAGGGAAGACTGAGTGAAAGACACTTCAAATTATTTAACTCCCCTTTTTTCTTAAAGCTGTCTTGGGAACATTTTGTTACTTGTTTTGGGTATCTGGGCCAAGTGAGGGTGCTTAGCAGCATGTGATTTTTAAAACTTGGTACAGCCATAAATCCCTCTACACCAAAAAAAAAATAATTAAGTCCAGGGGCTCTTTCTATGGAGGGAAATATTTTGAAGTGGGTTTAAATGAATTCAGTGAAATCCAGCTTAGACTTTTAAGGAGCATTTATTAAGAGAACCTGGAATCTCTTTGTTAGGCAGAGTAATTATGTAATCTTCCATGGTAACAACTCCCAGGTCAGTTGATGTCAAACTGGGATTCTAGGTAAATAGAAAATAATTAAAAGACAGTCATAATCCTTTCCTCTTTTCCTCACACCTAAAAATGGGGGAAATGGCAGTTTGTAAAACTGGGTTAATCCTGTTGAACACTAGCTAGGGGTGGGAATGAGGGTTAGTGGCCAACAGTATTAGCCCAGAGTGTCCTAGGAATCCTGTGGGTGCTAAGAACTTTTCTTAAACCAGGGAGCATAGGGAAGTAAAAGAAAAGGGTGGGGCTGTGGGTGTGAGGCCGTTATCTCTGTGGCAGAATCTGCCCTCTATGATTTGACTCCAAATCTCCCCCTCCTCTGGAGGATGCAGGAAGTTCCAGAGTGGTCTGCTGGGGAGCCCCCATGTATGTATTTAAGAGTGTTTCTGCTTTTGTTAAAGATTGCAAATGCAAAGACATTGAAAACAATGCTCTGAAAGATATTCTGGAAACATCAGATCTTGGATAAGACAAGCACATTAGGGGAACTCTGGAAGATTCCCCTTTATCTTCTGTGGCATCTAAGCGGTAGTCCTCTTGGAGGCAGTTTCTGCATTTCACATTCTGCAGAGGGAAAAAACAAACTCTGGAAAACTATAGTGTATTAGTTACCTATTGCTGTGTAACAAATCACACCAAAACTTAGTTTAAATCAACAAATACTATTGTGCAATTTCTGAGGTTCAGGAATCTGGGAGTGCTTAAGCTGGGTGCTTTTGGCTCAGGGTCTCTCATCTGTCTGCTGGGGCTGCAGTCCCTGAAGAGTTGTCTAGGGCTTGAGGATCCACTTCCAAGCTCACTCACACATTTGCAGGAGGCCTTAGTTCCTTGTCATGCGGGCCATAAGGCTGCTCATGACATGGCTTCCCCCAGAGAAGGTGTTCCAAGGGAGAGAAAGCCCAAGATGGGGGCCATAGTCTTTTATAGCTTAATCTGGGAAGTGACACAACATTACTTCAGCTGTGTTCCGTTGGTTACATGGACCAACCCTGGTATACATTGTGGGAGGACAATACAAGGGTGGGAATACCAGGGGGCAGGGATTGTTGGGGACCATCTTGGAGGCTGGTTACCACACATGGTTCTGAAGTAATTCTCATGCCTTTCTAAACTCAGCAGGAAGTAATGAAGCAATGTAAGGTCATTGCCAACCTTCCCAAAGCAATGTCACAAAATGCTCAGTTAGTTTTTGTGGTCAATTCTAACATGCATACATCTAGGGGATGGGTTTGAGAAGCAGGAAAGAAGTCTTTGGAAGATAGAGGCAGCTCCTAATAGTTTAGATAGTTAAGACTATAATACAGTAATAGAAAGCAGTTCTTAAAGTTCTGAAATAACCTTCTATCAGGATTTTTATTAAAACCTTACAGGAATTTTTTCCCTTCATTACTACATGACTAGAGATTAATATATTTTTAGATTTGTTTTATAAAATGTGTTTTGTAATTTAAATATTATATTTCAATAAAGGTCACTTGTCTGTTGAAGACATTTCAGAGCAGGTAGGTTTCTAATTAACCTGGTAGTAAGGAAAAAGGAAGTAATCCTTGCTGATAATTTCCTATCACTCTACATTTATGATTTAGAGGACAAAATCCTTACAGAAACCTCTACTCTAACACAGCACTCCACTTATAGGGTTAGGTTATAGGATCTAATCTGTAATATGCCTGCCCAACTAAGAGGTCTAGCCCTCTATTGCCTAGGACATTAGGGTTTAAAGCCATGTGAGTGATGAATTTTTAATAAAAATGAACCTTTCAAATCACTAAGGTAACAAGTATTTCCTAATCCAAAAGGTCTCTAATGTAATCCTTTCTGGCTTTGTCAATTTAACTTTAAACTTGTTTACATACCTCTACCACTACTTTATGAAGCCAATAATAATATCCTTTGAGTTGGCAGAGCTATTTTGCCAGTTTTTGTTACTGACACACTTTTGTTATTTCCCAGAATTCAAGTTTTATACAGATCTTTCTCAACTGAAGATGGAGTTACTTCAGTTAATTGAAAGCATTGTTAAGTAAAAAATGCATTTAATGGGGTATGGGGGGGTACTCGATAATAAGGGTGAATGTAATAACCACATTGGTTTTCTTGTGAAACCTTCATAAGAGTGTATATCAATGATACCTTAATAAAAAAAAACACATTTAATACACCTATCAAACATCACAGACCTTAGCCTGCCTACCTCAGAACACTTACATTAGCCACAGTTGGGCAAAATCATCTAACACAAAGCCTATTTTAGAACAAGTGTTGGATATACTATGGAATTTGTTGAGTGCTCTACTGAAAGTGAAAGCAGAACGGTTGTTAAGTGTATTGCTTGTTGATCCTTGTGACCGTGTGGCTCACTGGGAGCTGCGGCTTGCTGCCCTGCCCAGCAGCATGAGAGAGGACTGGACCACATATGGCTAGTCTGGGAAAAGATCCCAATTCGGAGTATGGTTTCTACTAAATGGGCATTGCTCTCGCACCATCCTAAAGTTGAACCATCCTAAGTTGGGAACCGTCTGTACTGAGTTTAATTTCTTTTTCCTTAGGTCCTTGGAGTTCTGTGGAAACCACAGGCTAAAACCCAAAGAACATTACCTTTGCAACTATAATGTTAAAACCCTGTTTTCTCTCTAATTCCTTCAAAACTATGAACCACAAATTGTGTCTCAGGCAGAGTCTGGGAGCAAATAATAATGCTGGATGAAAACCAGGCACTCTGAGAGAACAGGCAACCACTTGCTGGGCTTCTCTTGACTTGCCCCTGGAGGTAGAGCTGCCCCCCACAAATATGGAGGCTAGGACGTATTCCAGGAAATGTGACCTGTAAGTCTTGCAGTTTGAATTTATATTGTTCATGTCTACTATTTTGAAATTTAAAATTTTAAACATTTCAAAATACAGGAGTGCATGTTTGTTGTAAAAATTTCATGACAGTATACAGAAAGTAAAAAAGCTAGATTTCTTCTAACCTCTCCCCACCCCCACTTCAAGCCCCAATTCCTTTCACAGAGCTAACAGCAAAAAAGCTGGGGAAAATCACACAACTTTCCAGACCAATATTATTTGAAAATACAAACAGTTTTACAGCATTCTATGCATTGTTCAACATTCTGCTTTTCTATTTAACATGTCTTAGAGCTCATGCCATATTACTACATTGCAGCATTACCTCATTCCTTTTAACAATTTCATAATACTCTGTAGCATGGATGTGCTGATTTAACCAGTCTTCTCTTGATGGCTGGCTGCCAATGCTGTGAACACCTGTTTGTGCACACCCTGTGCCCACATGCACATAGCTGTGGAAGAGAGGTCCTGTATGGCTCCATTTGCTTCAAAGCCCTCTCTGGTCATGTCTTCCTTTCTTTGCTCCAGTTTCACTGTAATTAAATATTGCCAGTATAATGTTTTCTGAAGAGTATCTTTATCAGGCAGACAATAAATCCAGTAAGATGACAGTGTGGATACCATCATCCATACCTTACAAATCCTCATGTTTGCATCTGCTTCAGTGCCTGGCACAGCATGTGGCTGACACTCGATAAATGTTTGTTGGCTAGACAAGGAAGAGCTAAGTAGACACAAGAGGTATGAAATCAAAGTGTTCATAACCTCAAAGTTCCTGAAGTTAAAAATCAGGTCTTAAATTGGTTAGTGAATCAAGATTTAATTTGATCCCAAGTTTTTACCTTTTATCTAGACGCTAGTTAATATTTCATTACATTTCTTGGTTTGGGGGAAGTCTTCTAAAGGAATGCCATGAAATGAAGAGTGAAAGGAAATACAAGATTAAAGACCAAAGAGTAATGGAAAAGATTAAAGCCGGAAGTTATGGGCACATCTGCATTCATCCAGGTTTTACAGAATTATATTAAATGGATTTTAATGTAAAGATACACCAAATATACCCTACCCTCCACCCATTCGGCACAGATCACATCCTTGATGGGTGGCCAGGCAAGCCAGGGAGCATGGCTTGGGCTCAGGATGGAAGTGCTTCCTCCAGGCAGTGAGGGACGTGCCAATTCTGGGCCTGAAGCTCCAGAGGCAACATGGCCCAATTAAGTACCACTGGCTTTGGGAAGGAGCCGATGTAGAGGACAGTTGAGGATGAGTCCGACCCCAAAAACCACTGCACACAATGGGACAATGGTTTCTCAGTTCAGGAAACAAGCAGGACAAAGTCAGCAGTGGATGGCTTTTTGGGTAAAAGAACAGAGTTAAGAATGAATTTGTGAATTTCTTTAAATAAAATCACGTCTTTGATTTCCATAAGAATGTTGAAATTTCATAATCTAGTAATGAAGGACCAGGTTTATTTAATAGTATAACTAAGTATCTGTGAAAAACCCTAAGCTATCAGTTGACCCTTTAAGTCAACAAATATTCAAAGAGCACCCAGGGCTAGGCCCATGCTCAGCACTTGGGATACAGCTGAGCAGACAGAGCTCTGACTGCCGTGGGAGTTTACTTTTTACAAGAGTGCCATCCACAAGCCAACACCTTTGGAGCTTTCCCTGACATCCCTGCTTTTGGAACTGGCCCAGCCCCCCGCCCTGCCCCTCCCCCAGTTAGTGGAGTCAGTTCTGTAGCTCCCAGTGACCAGCCCGGCCCCACCTCCTTATCCTACTTCCCCAGGCCACCAGCAATGGGTAGTAACAGTTCTGCACTAATTGGAAATGGCTAGAAAACGCCCTTTCACTCAATTTTTTTTTGGCCTTCTTCCAAGAAAGGATTTATATTTCAACATTTACATCACAGCCCACCCCTTGGACATTCTCATGAATGAGACCTTCAAGAAAGCAGGTTGTGTGCCAGTGGGCAGAGAACTTCTTCCACAGACCTGGCCAAACACAGTCTTATGCTAAGCAGCTGGAATTTAGGAACAGAAAAGAATCCTGCCATTTAAACAGGAAAAAAACAAAAAACCCTGGATGACAGCAAGTTTTGGTACAAGAGCACCTAATATTTTTTGATTGGTACGGATCACAAAACACCAAGCTTATGAACATAAAAAAATAGTCCCAAGAGTTGAAGGAAAGTTCAGGAAGAAATTCCTTTTTGTTTGGGTACATACTCCGGTAAGTTTTTCCTCATGCACAGGAGAGGATGGCTCAGATGGAAGCTGTGCTGGCTCTGACAGAATATGCCTGATCACTGCTAAGGGCCACCTAAAATAAGAGAAAATATTTAATATTCTATACTTGAAGGAAAAAAATGTAAAATATTGAACAGTTATTTAATAAGTTTTTCTTATGGAAATTAACAAGTGGTTATTAATGCCGAAGCTAAGCCAGGCACCAGCGGCACCACCAGAGGGCTGACATACTTTTTGATTATGTTATAAAGTTGACTCACTCACGACTAGACCACTCACTTCAGGTATGTCCGACTAAACAAAGCTGACGGAGTTTCTGTTCAATTACTTCCCAGATGTGAGCCCCATCACTTTTGAAAGCACAAAACTCAATGGCCTTTCTTTCAAAATATAAGGACACTGGGAAACTTCAGATTAGACAAAACTGAGTGTTCATTATGGCCTTACATAAAAGAATAGACATCAAAGACATGAGCCTCTTCTGTCCTTATTTAACAGCATATATCTGAACTCACCTCAGGCCTTCCCTTTAGGTGTCTGTGTCCCAGGTTCCTTTGAATCTGGTTTTTGATGCTGTAGACGGAGGCTGTCTAGCTTCTGCATATCTTCTGTAAGACCACTTCTAAGATCCTCATTGTTTCTCAGAAATTCTTTCACCACTTCCAGTTGATTTAAGATCTGCAAGAGGACACCATACAACGTACAGCTTAGAAAATTTTCTAGCAGATTTGTAATTCAGATGAAAAACTTACTAACTCTTGAGTGTGGCCTCCTGTTCATGTAACCACCAATTGCTGGCTCTGGGGCCACACACAGGGATGTTTGCTTGTCTTCTCAAATTTTTTTTTTTGCTTTTAGGAGTTAATACCCAAAATATATCAGAATACATAAAAAACTCATATAATTCTAGAGCAAAAAACTCCAAATAATCCAACTAAAAATGGGCAGAGGACCCGAATAGACATTTTTCCAAAGACATACAGAAGGCCAACAAACACATGAAAAGATGCTCCACATCATTAATCATCATGGGAATGTAAATCAACATCACAATGAGGTAGGCACCTCACACCTGTTAGAATGGCCACTATCCAAAAGACAAGAAATAACAAATGCTGGCCAGGATGTGGAGCAAGGGGAATCCTAGTGCACTGTTGGTGGGAAGGTAAATTGGTATAGCCACTACGGAAAACAGTATAGAGGCTCCTCAGAAAACTAAAAATAGAGTACCATAGTTTCTAGCAATCCTACTTCTGGGAATATATCTGAAGGAAACAAAAACACTATGTCCAAGAGATATCTGTACCCCTCCATGTTCACAGCAGCATTATTTACAATAGTCAAGACATGGAAGCAACCTAAGTGTCTATCAATGGATGAACAGATAAAGAAGTTGTGATACATACACACAATGGAATATTATTAGTCAGGCATAAAAAAGGAAGGAAATCCTGCCATTTGTGACAACATGGATAGACCTTGAGGGCATTATGCTGAGATGTCAGACAGAGAGATAAATACTGTATGATCTCATTTATATGTGGAATCAAAAATAAAACAAAAACAAGAAAACAAGCTCAAAGAAAAAGAGATCAGATTTGTGGTTAGTAGAGCTGGGGGCTGGATGTCAGGGTGGGGTGGGATTGGAGGAAGGTGGTCAAAAGCTACAAACTTACAGTTATAAGGTAAGTAAGTACTGGGGATGTAATGTACAGCATGGTGACTATAGCTAACACTGCTGTATGGTATATATGAAAGTTGTTAAGAGAGTACATCCTAAGGGTTCTCATCACCCTTAGGTGCATCTATACGAGATGGTGGATATTAACTAAATTTCTGTGGTAATCATTTCACAGTATACATAAGTCAAGTCATTATGCTGCACACCTTAAACTTATGTAGTGCTGTATGTCAAGTATACCTTAATAAAACTGGAAACAAATTTAAAATAGTTTTTCTGCTTTAAAACTTCCTGCCTTTGTAAGAAAGGGATATATATTATTGCTGTATGTATGTACACATGCACACGCACATACATACATGTAAACACATATATATAAAAATAAATGAAGCCCTTTCATTTTGAATTTTGTACTCACACATTTATTACTAGTAAATATATATACATACGTATGTACACACACATATACACAAATACATACACTCACAAATATAAAGTTCTTTCATTCTGAATTTTGTACCTGTACATTTATTACTATGGAATAAATCTATTTATTGTTATGAATATTTAGAAAATAAACATATAGTTAATGAAAGAAATGTACAGGTACAAAATTCAAATGAACACAAGGTTACAAGCTAAAAAGTCAGTCCTCTTCCATACCCTGTTCCCAGTGACCCAGCTCCTCTCAGAGATGACCACAATGAAGTTTCTTGCGTTTCCTTCAGAGATATTATGCATTTACATATGAGCACGTGTATATATAGACATTTAAAAAAATTTCAGCTTCACTGAGGTGTAACTGACACATAACGCATTTTTTTAAAAACACGAATGACAACAAGCTAGACACCACTTTTCAACTTATTTTTTTCTATATTAGATTATAAAAAGTGGCCCCAATTCTTAAAAAATAGCTGAATAGTATTTAGGTTATGGATGTTTCATATTTTAACATATTATTTCAATCCTTCTGCTAAGAGAAATAATGCTGCAGGAACTAACCTGGTACATGTGTCATTTTGCATAAGTGACAAGCTATTTGTAGGATCTGTTTTTAGAAGCGGAATGCAGTTTTAATTCTGACAGAGTTTTCAGTTTTAATGTTAACAGATTTTGCCAAACTGCCATCATAGCAGTTATGCCAATTTAAACTCCCACAAGTAACATCCTTCCTGACATTTAAACTAATAAAAATACTCTCAGAATAGTACCATGGAAGTGTTTTCTCTAGGCTTATCCCAGGATACCCTCACTGGTCACTGTGCTTATTGCACATGATATACCCAAATTTGGGGGTGTGGTCAACTTTTTAAATGGGGGACCCCCACTCCATGCTAAGTCAAGATGACCTACATCTAAGGAAGGAAAGCAATGGGGTACCTTAGCCTAGCAGAGTAGTGGTTCTTAAGCCAATTACATAATTGATTCTGATGCAGAGGGTTTCGGAGGGAACCTAGGCGGGCCCTCAGGGTAGTGTGATGTAAGTGAATGAAAGAGCCAGATGCTGGAGGATGGCTGCCACGGTTGGGCGGGGAGGAGAGGCTGCCACTTGTGGCCAGGATGAACAGGGGGCAGGGAAGGCCAGGGAGGAGCTGAAGATGACTGGAGTTCTCCAGATAGGTAAGTAGATGGGGCATGCCCTTCAGCTGGAGCTGTTCATTGCACAGATGGAAATAAGCCTATAGCTCCAGAAAGACGCCTAGGCTTTAAATAATAAATCTGGACACCATAAAAACATCAAATGACGATTATACTAATTGCATTATTCATGGTGTACATTAGTGAGGGGGGGATGGCACTGTCAGTGCTTACTGCCTGAGTCTAGTGACCTAGGTGCACCCCAGGGGCCTTCCTGTGGTTCCCATCAGATGCCCATGACCCTGCTGGCTAGGTCTCTGCCTCACACTCATGCTCTAAGATGGAGTGGGGTCCTCCCTCCCGTTCCTTTTCATCTGATGGCTTGGGAGCTGTGATCCTTTCTGCTGTCACCTCCTGACCCTCTCTGCCCTTGAAATGTGCTTAAGAGGGGCAATTATTTTAGCTTGGAGGGGAGAAAGAGTCAAAAGAAGTCTTAATTATTAAAAATGGGGAAGGCTTATGCATGTATATATGCAAAGGAGGAAGAGGAATTAGAGATGGAAAAACCGAAAGTACCAGAAAAATTATGGAATGAAGTCAGATTTGGATTTTGAAGCCCAGCTTTGTCACTTAACCAGCTGTGTTGACTCTGGGCAAGACACTTGACCTCTCTGAGCTTACTTCTATACATGCAAATAAAAGATGATAACATCACCTAGGATTCTTGCAAGGATTGGAAATAAGCTACTAAAAGCATTAGCATTGTGTCTGGTACATTCCTTCTTTCCTCCATTCATTTAACAAATGGTTATTGAAAGTCAGTCTGCTATGTGCCATGCCCTTTTCTAGGCAAAAGATGCTGAGCCCCTCTTCAGGCAGGTAAGCCAAAACTCTTGGCCTTGTCTTTGATGATTCTCTCTCTTCCTGTCACAGACTGTATCTCCCACCTCCTCACCACCTCTATCCTTCCTCCTAGAGTCTGAACCACCACCTCTCTTACCTGATCATGGCAGCAGCCTCCTACCAGGTCTCCTGCTTCTATCCTATGGCTGCCATGGCTAGAGAAAGAGCTTAGGTTCTTCTGATGGCTCACGGGCCTGATGTGACCTGCTGGCTCCGCCTTCCCTTTTCTCACCAAATCACCCATTTTTCTTGCTCTCACCCCAGTCCAGCTGCCTGGCTCAACTTGCTGTGCCCTCGGCCTGAATGCTCTTGCTCCAGATGTGCACATGGCCAATCCTCATCTTTTCCAAGCTATTGCTAAGTCTCACCTTCTCAGTGAGGCTACCCTGAACACCCTATTGCAACCTGACACTCGCCCCACTCTGCTAGTACCGATTCCCCCATGCTCCTTCTAACACACCACATCATTTACTGCCTATGCAGACTGTTTACCATCGGTCTCCCCCTGCAGTGATCTTGGTTTTGTTCACTGATGCATACCAAGCTTCTAGAACTGTGCCTGGCACATAGGAGCCACTTGCTCAGTAAATATTTCTGGGATAGAACAAATGAAGGGCGATTGTGATCCTTCCTCCTCTGCCTCGAGTACATTTAGTCACTGCCCATCTGCCTGAGTTTGCCTATGGGTCTCTGTGGAGGAGGGTCTCTCACCAGGGTTTAAGAAATCAGTAATGGTTTTAAAAAATGTGCAAATTCTTTACATGTGTTATAGCCACTTACTGTGCTTAACATTCTTTAGCTGACTTTTTAAACCCCCCGATCCTAACAGCACCAAGCAGAGGATAGGGCGATTGACAAGTCAGCATAACAGGACTATGTGAAGGGTTCTTGGGTGGCAGCTGAATATTCTGCTGCAGATGGGCCCCTGGCAGACACATTCCACACGAGTCCAGAGGGGCGTGAGCAGCTGCTGCTCCCATTTGGCTGGGAGGCAGAACGCATTTTACAACCACACAGTTATACATGCCGAGTGTATTTTAATGGGACCCCCTCGTTATAATGTTATACAACATTAAGGCTCATCAATAGAATAGAAAAGAATGGAGATGATAAGCTCTCTCTACTCTGTGCTTCTTGGCACTCCCATGCTCCGTGATGCATCTGCGAGACCTGTCACACTGAATTACCACCATAACCATTTTTTTTTAACTTGGCTTTTTAACCCGAGCCCTACTGTTTTAATGAGCACAGAAACAGGTTTTGTTAATTATTCACAAAAAAGTCCCATGGTCATAATACAACCACTGTATTTGATTCCTACATGCATATTTTTTGACATTTTTATGCATCTTACCATCAACAGTCTGACAATAAATTGGCAGTATTTATTTCCTTCTTTAATGGTAACTGAATTAATAGTGTGTCTTACAATTGATGGTATTTTAGATTCACTGGAATTTGGTTTATCAAATCCTCTGGCTTTGGAGACTAACCCTAAAGAACATGGACAACCACATATGGTACTAAACTTTCAAAAGGGGTCAATTCCACACATCATGGAAAAGCACCCTTCAACTTCTTAAAGATAACATCCCAATCAATCCTAACTTACATTTCGATCAATTGAGATATCAAGAGAAATGCTGTGGTCTACCGAACAGAAAGCATAAAAACAAGAATTTAGCAACTCTATCTAGAGATGTTGGGACCCAGAGGACAAACCAATTAACCCCAATTTCCTCTCTGTAAAACAGAGAAAATGAAGGTTCAAAATGTACAGTTGCTAGTTCCCAGGTGATACAAGATCTGCAATGCAGCATGTGGAAAGGCCCAGGGCCAGAGCAGAGAGACCTCTGCTCTGGCCAGCCCTTACACACCATTATGGGGCCCTGCACCCATGCCTGCTCCTTGGGGTCACTGCTCATGTGTAAAGCAGAGGATATGCTGACTGACAGGTTTCCTTCCAGCTCTCAATGTACATAGACTCCTGGCTTGAGAGTGTTGTTACTGATGCAGTTGGCTCTTTGTTACCCAAACAGGAAAAGAACTGTAGCTCCCTCAGGAGAGAAGACAGAAGTACTGATGACTTAGGGGCTCTGAGCTGGATCTCCTAGGTGTCTTCTGTTCTCTGCTGCTTCTGAAGCAGCCGAAAGAAAACTGGGGCTGGTTTTAATGGCTTTTTTTTAAAAAAAGCGAGATAAAACACATGGATTTAGAAAATAGAACATTTAACAGTCTTATTCATCATTTCAAATACCTATGGTATGCAAGGGTGGGCATATCCAAAAACCAGTGGTACTCATTCTAGCACTTACTGGATAAGAATTCTAATCACCAGGTGATCTTGGACAAATCATTTCATCTCCCCATTCCTCCCTTTCTGAGGAGAGTAACTTTGCTGGTTACCTCATTAAACAGTGTGTGTTTATTTAATACAAGGTGTGTATTTCATTGATCGAGCCATGCTCCTTACTGGGCCATATGCCCATGTTAACCATTCTGACCTTCACCCAGATACTTCATTCAGTTTGGTGAGCTCCTTTAGCATAGGGACTATTTTGGAACCTTACTAGAATACAATTCTACTACCGCTCCTTTTATTTTATACTTTACATGTAACAAAGGGAATTCATTTCTCTTGTGCCCCCTATCAGGACTTAAGACCATCACTACTAGCTTGTAGTATCTTCAGGTAGAAACCTCGTTGATCCCTTAACGCCCTCCTCCTCCACCTCCTTCCAGCACCATGCCACGCTCCAAGTAATCTAACCAGCTATCAGCTCTGCCCAGGCAATGCCTCCAGAATCAGGCACCCTCTAGATCTATCCTCTTTCTCGCATGACTGCAAGAGCCTCTGGGCTAGTCACCAACCTCCAACTGCCATTAAGAGTTAACTTTCTAAAAGTTGTATCTAATCTATTTCACTTGCTCTTCCTTCTTTACAAACATCTGTTGGTTCCCTACTGCTTTTGGGAATCAGGTCCAAACCCCTTGGTGTGGCAGAGAAAAACACAAAAGATATAACACTTTTTTTTTTTTACCTCTTCAGGCAACACCTCTTGGTCTTTTGCTTGAAGATATATGTCTTCAAGTTTCTCCTTTAGTAATTCCATTTCTATTTCATTTATTTGGCTCTCACTCAGGTAGCCTCCTGTTTCACATTGACATCCATCTCGCTGATCTTCCTCAGGGATGTGAACAGCCCAGTCAGAGGTCAAGAGCTGTTGGATTACCAAACAAATATATGAATGACTGAATGGAAAAGATACTCCATTGGGTTACTTAAAGGATTTATAATTAAACATCACTGACTAGATCCACTTTAATAATGTACTGTGACCACAGAAAAGCCTCTCAGCCCAGCATAATTCTAGATTTTGTATCAACATGCTTTTCCCACTTACATTCCAAAATTTCATTTGAATCTAATAAACCTCAAAGTCTAAATGTATGACTGTGGTTGCTTTTTGCCCTTAGTTCTTTATGCCAGAATGGTCAAGTATGATGTTTACCTGTTCTATTCTGGAGTACATTGCCACAATCTCTGGGATATTCTTGAATTCATTCAGAAAATTTTGGATCTTTGTCTGAAAATCTTGAAGCCACATAGAAGATACTTTCATCTCTGAAGAGTGCATGATCTCATTACGACACTTAATCACCTACAGAAAGATAGAGGCTTTGTTAATTACAAAATCCACAAATGTGCCTGTACATGCTGTCAAGGCTTGTGGGGATGTTCAACCCCTTGCTACTTGAATAATAAGTTAACTGCAGTAATAAACAAAAAAAAAAGCCTGTTACTATTCTTAGCTCTTGAAATCTTGTGATGGGCAGGATCTCTCTTATACAATCCTCCAAATCCCTTAACTTAAAATCACCTACCAAAGAGCCAGAGTAGTGGCTACTGGCTCTGAGTATACCCCATCGGCTGAAGCAAATAATGCAAATATATTTTCAGTATTGCTCAAGCTCCAGAAAGTTGGGAGAAGGCAGTTTTTTGATGTGGAAACTATGATGAAAAGAAAATCAACTTTTGCCTATATTTTGTAATAAAGAATACTGCCTAATCATATATTTATATACAGTTCACATAAAGACTTCCACATTTTTGGTTAAAAGATATCAAGGGGTCAACTTTATACCATGATAGTTTTTGTTTCTGATGATCAAAAAAAGTATTCTTAGTCCTTTCAGCTGCTGGCATACTAGCAAAATATACATGCATTTTCTCTACATATTATATATAATCCAGGTATGCTATATATTTTTTTCAATGACCATCAGAATAATAAATGTGTAAGAGCTGTTCTCTGGTGAAACAGAAAGTCTAAATCCCAGAGGAAATCTGACAAGCATAGCCAACTATTCTGATGTTGTTTGTCCATTAGTGTTTTATATTTTCTTTCCATTCTATGTAACTTGGTCTTGCAACTGTTTAAGCCATGAGATTTAGAAGGGCAGGATTCAAACACTGGCATATGATGGAAAGAATGATGCACTGTTCTGCATTTCTTTTAACTCAGAAAATTACTTTGCTTCTGTTTATGGCAGAACAAGGAAGAAAAATTTGAGGTTCATCTATTTTAGTGATGACAAGCAAGTTGTCAGAAAACTTCACTTAGGGAGACCTACAGGGTCAGTCTCCTGAGAGCCATTTGCACTGGAGATATGTGATAATGAGCTTCATTAGCCTGCTTAGTGATGCCAACCTTGAACTAAAGTCTAACTTTCTTTGCAACCACTGTTTTGGGGCAAGACTGTGTGCTACATCTGTCTGCCATTTTAGCATCATGGGGTGTGTTTTTGGGCTGTTCATCACAGCACTGTCCCAGACTGATTCTGATTATATGGTCTGAAATATGACAGCTCTTACCTCTATGACTTTCTTTCGATCAATCACGAAGTGATCACAGGAGTTGATGAGACTTAAAAGAGCAACTGCATCACATTCCTCAGGTCCTGCTTTATCTGCCAGTCCTCGGGGCATAAAAGCCTACAGCAGGGAAGCACAAGGGGTACCTGAGTCTCCTTCAACTCTAGAAGCCAGTGGAACAAATGTTATTTGTCTGTTTCCCAAATGATGACAGAAATTCTCTTAACTGAGGCTTCATGAGTTCAAAACACAAGTCAGGAAGCAGCATGACAGCTAAGCCTTGGCCAAGGGCAATAAGCGAAGGGTTGCTCTATCTGTCCCTCTGCTATCAGAGACACACACTTGACATAACAGGTTTTCTATCCTTTCTAATGGTATATAAGCAGGAAGCATGGGAAGAAAGCAGCCTTTTTATTTCTAACTTAGGTTTCAGTGGCTAAGTTGTTAAAGAAGATATAAAATTTTAAAATAATAGTTCCTCCAAAACAGACACTTTAAACTGAGTTGAGAAGTTCAGTAATATGGTAGTGTAAAGTCAGGGGTCTGGGTTTGGGAGTGTGACAGGGCTGGGGTCATATCCTAGCTCTGCCACTTGCTAACCGTGTGACCTTGAGCAAGTTAACTTAACCTTAGGTTCCTCATCAGTAAATGGGGGATAACTGAAGGACCTGGCCGCCTTTATCTTGAAGGACGTTGGGAGAATTGAATTAGTTAATGCAGGTAAAACACTTGCATGGTGCCTGTCACTTGCTAATAAGTGGGCCATAAGTGTTGGCAATTATGCTACCAGTTTAAGGTGAAGAGGACCTTACATAGGAGATAAAAATGGCATCCCAGAATTAGATATATCAGAAGGGCCTCATTCTGTAATGATCTTGCCTTTTGTAGGATTTTATGGCATGGATCCCCAAAATGGTGTTAGAGCAAGGCTTGGATATATTTCTTCCCTGAAATAGTTCCAAATTTACATGTGAATGCAACAACTTTACCAAACTAGAAGCTCAAGAATACATTCTTGCCAACAGACTAGAAAGGATGACATACCAAAAATTACTCCCATTAAGAACTCTGAGTCCTGTTCCCTTGAGAACAAACACATTTCATCAGGTAAGCAACCACAATGCCTCCTAGCATGCTGCTCATAATAGTGGTGGGTGCCAACACACCCCAAGGGGAGTCAGGGCTCTTCCTGATGGTGGGAGAAACACCCACTTGACCCTCACATGATTAAGAAGAATTTTGCATACAATGAATGCGCCCTATCGAAAGGTACAGTAGCCAGGGCCATCACTGCCTTTCTATGTTTTAATGGTCAGTGACCTACAGATCCTCTGAAAGAAGTCTGCTATGGATGCAACATATGTTAACAAATAAGTTAACTAATGTATCAGAGGTAAAGCAACGCAATGAAACTCAGAAAAGTTGCTGAGTTTGGCTGTTGCCAAGAGGATAACCCAAAGTTAGCGGGGGCCTTACTTGCCTCAAAACAAGGTAGTTTTTCTCTTCAATTACAAGGTATGTCCTGTACAGCATTTTCTCACCAATATAAACCTGTCTCATCCACGTTTAAGTTTTATTCTAGTAATTATTCCCTTTTTTCAGAACTACAAGCCCACAGGGAGGCCCTGCTGCCTCCATGCCACTGAAATCATTTCTTAAACACTGTATTGCACACCACCATGTTGCATATGCTATGTGCGCAGTGGAGATAACACACCTTACTGCTTCCCACTACCTTCTACTGTCTCGTCATTGAGTGGGAGGAGACAAGGTTAGAGAAGTCAACAGGGGCCACATTGTGCTGGGGCTTACTGGCTCTGGAAAGGAGTATGGAGCTTATTCTAAGGCCATCAGGAAGCCAGGCATGGGTTTTAGGCAAGGGAAGAAAACGACCCACTTCCCATGTGAAGACTGAACACCCCGCTGTGTGCACGACCAACAAGAGGCAGCCTGAGCAGCAGAGGCGGCCAGGTGTGAGGCTGGAGCTGGAGCCCAGGCAGGACAGGGAGCGGTTTGCAAAACAGAAATGCAGAGAAGGATTCTGGAAATATTTTGCAGGTACAAACAACAGGGGTAGTGAGAGCGGAAGAGATGAAGCAAGAATGATTAGAGGTAGCTGGTGGTGGCACAAGGGCGAAGGTTTGGGGGGTAGACATGAAGAGTCCTGCTTCACAAGTAAAGACAAAGTGCCCAGGAAGCAATGAAGAGGAGTATCAAGTCAATAGTTGGATATGGGCATCTGGGGCTCTGAAGAGAGGACAGTGCTAGGGGTACAAATCTGGAAGCCATCAGCATAAAGGCAGTATCTACTATTTAAACCACGGGCCTGCTAATCATTCCTCACTCTACACAAATGGTGAATCATTATGCTGTACAACTGCAACTAATATAGAATGTTACGTGTCAGTTATGCACCCCAATTAAAAAAACTTTTTTAAGTGTACAGTTCAGTGGTTTTTCATATATTCAGAGCTGTGCAACCATCAGCACAATTTTAGAACATTTTCATCACCCCAAAAAGAAACCCTCTACCCATTAGCTACCACCCTCCTCCCCTCCCCCACACTCTGGCAATCACAAATCTACTTTTTGTCTCTATAGATTTGCCTATTCTGGACATTTCAAATAAATGGAATCATACCACATGACTGGCTTCCTTCACTTAGCGTAATGGTTCGTCCAGTATTGTAGCATGTTATCAGTACTTCATTCTTTTCTATGGCTAAATAACATTCCAATGTATGCACAGACCACACTTCGCTAATCCACCCACTGGTTGATGGACATGTATGTTGGTTCTACCTTTTGGCTATTGTGAATAGTGCTATGAACTTTTGTGCATGGGTTTTTGTGTGGATGTATGTTTTCATTTCAGTGGGTGGATACCTAGGAGTGGGACTGCTAGGTCATATAGAAACTCTAGGTTTAGTCTTTTCTTTCTTGTTTTAAAATATTAAATAAATCAAGGCAATAGTAAAATTATCTGTATGGTGATGGGAATAAGCTGGCAGGAAAGAAGAGTGGATGGCTAAAGACTCAAAGTCCTTGGGCATGTGAGAGGGAATAAGGTCCAACATACAAGTGGAGGGCCAGGGTGGTGAGAGGAGGGACGCCCCTCCTCCTTTTGTAACAGAAGGAAGAAGAGGGTGTATATGGAGGCAGGTTGGTAGGTCTGGTAAAAGGATGAGGAAGTGTGTATCGGGGGACATCCATCAGTCAACTCCAGGAAGCAAGAGCAAAGTTGGTGGCTGGGAGTGCCAGTAGAGGAAAGGGAGCTTGGCCAGGAAAAGGCAGCAAAGTTGTCTCCAGGAACAGGAGCCTATAGAGACACAGCCAGATTGCTGGGGCTTGTGATCAAGAACTGAAAGTGAAACCAGTCAGCTCCCTTGTGAGATTTTTCCCTTGTGCAGAAGCAGATGATGGTGTCATGAGGGCTGCAGGTGGGCCAGGCAAGTTCGGAGAAGGGAGAAAAAAAGGAGGATGGGGTTGGAGAGAGAAAATAAACAGGGGGTTAGACTAGAAAGTGGGTAGGTGACAGCAACGAAAGGTGGCATAAAATGGTGGCAAGGGCTTTAAGAGAATTACAAATGAAAGCAGCAACAGAAACCAAACAGGAGAGGGACAGTCACATTAAAGGGTACAGTTTCAAGTTTTTTTCTTTTCTAGGCAAAAGTAGAAGCTGGCATTCTATGACAGCAACAACAACAAACGGGGAAGAGGGTCGGTTTACTGGTCCAAGACAGCCAAAAGTATGGGAAGTCCCAACTTCCTCATGGTTGCAGTTAGGGAACAGAACTGGCCAATGTCACATCACAGCAGCTGGGTTGGGACTCTGATCCCTGCTTCCCAGGAGCCCAGCCTGTGCCTGCTGCTAACTAGTCTGTACGCTGACTCCAAAAAGTTCATTTGTGTTAGCAGGTGACTTTGAGTGCCCCTCCCCACTCCCTACTGGGCTTCTGGCAAACATCAGAAGGTCAAAAAAATCCCCCCAGTTGGCCCAGCTAGTAAATCAGACTGCCAGGATCTGAAAACAGGCCTAAGAGTCTCCTCCTATCTGGCTGTCCACCCCATGCCAAAGTTTTATTCCTTAGTTGGACACTTAAAGTCCCTCCTATTTTATCCCTAACTTCCCTTGGCTTATTCTGCCATCCTCATGGCTCCCCACAGCCAAAATGAACTATTCAGGGAGCCTACCCTCACCTTACATGTTTCTCCCTCTGCCTGGGCTTATTATCCTGGCTCTACATCTTGCCTCAGCATCTCTCCTTAAATTCTCTCCTATAGCTTCTAAGCAGGGCTAGCAAACACAAATGTCTTCAGGAAACAGACAAGTTGAAGAAAACTTGTATTTCACTAACCTGGGATTGGGTCCAACATAACAGCCCTGAATTGCCTAGACACTAGACCCTAGATCAAACATCTAATCCCCTCTTTGCACCTGTTTATGAGGCCCCGGGCTCCAGGTGACCCCTACCTGTGGGTCACCTCTTACCCTCCCGACCGCAGATACTTACCTTGGCCACCTCCCAGGCGTCGACGGGCCACCGGCCCGGCCGGCAGTTTCCCCAGTGGACGTCCCCATTTCTGTTGGTGTGATGTTCCAAAATCTCCCGTTTCCACTCTGCGCACACCTGACACTGAGGCTGAAACTACAGGGGCGGTGGTGAGGAGGAGCCTGGGAGGAAGGGGCAGTAGCTGGACATGCAAGCCCTGAGCGTTGCGGTGGGCCCGGCCCCAAAAGGGTACGGGACACTGCACTCGGGGACGCGGTGAGAGGCTACGGGCAAGGTCCGGGGCCAGGTGCTCACCTGGCGGGCGCGTGGGCTACACCGCGAGCCGCTGCGGCAGGCGGCGCGGGGGCCCAGGCTGGGGGCGGCGGCGAGAAGGCCGCGGTGGAAGGAGAGCACCTCGCGGCCGACGAAGTCCTGCAGGCAGCCGCGCAACAGCAGCAGGCAGTGACCCGCCTTCACCCAGTTCTTGTACTCGGCACAGTTGAGGCGCACGGCCAACTCTGACAGCACCATGTCCTACTTGGGCCCAGAAGACCACGGGGCGAACGACACTGCGCACGCGCGGAAGCCTTGGCCGCGCCGGCGCTGGGCGTGTTGTCACGCCCGGAGGCTGCCCGAACGTTCGGGGCGGGGGCAGCAGAGCCAGTCGCGGTGCGCCCAGGATACCCCGGCACGTCGGCCCCACCCGTCTTAGGTGACCACGGACGTGTAAGTACCTCATCTGGTGTTGGCCCAGAAGGCCTCTACGTGAAATTCTTACGCCATGTTCTCTCTTATTCCAAGCTGAGACTCGGCCAGCCCCTGATTCAACTACCTCTCCTGTCTGTGCTTCTGTTTCATGTTTATGTAGAGATACAGAAAGTGTTGAAGGCATACTTGTTGAATTCCATATATTCCTTGCATTATACAATTGTATAAAGTTTACTTAACTGGTTCCTAAGCCCATAGATTGGCTGTAGCAAACAGGGGCATTAGTGAAATGACTGCTGGCTGCCAGTACCGCGCTTGAGGTGTACTGAGGTGGCACAAAGCTCAAAAACATCCGCCATTGGGCCACCTAAGCAGAGGCAAGCTGGACAGCATATCCCCTGGTTCCTTCAGGGCTCCACCGCCCTGAAAACCTATGGTCCTGAAGCATCCAGCTTAAATGATGATTATTTGGTATTCTCGGTTATATGATAATGCTCCTTGCACAAAGCAGTCTTAAGTTAATTTAAGCTTGAAATAAATGCCATGAGTGTTAGAAGGTAATGGATCGTCACCTCCAAATGACAAGAGGTCATCTCAGTTTCAGTGGTCTTTTAGTGAGTTTCCTGAGCTTGGAAAAAAATGTTAAAATTGTGTGTAGTCAAAAGGCTCTGAGGGAAAATCTAACCATTGAAGATTTCCCCCTGACTTCGTGGTTCACGGCAAAGTGGCAATGTTTAGGAGCACTAGATATGCACTCAAACTACCTCTTCCTAGCTGTTTGAGATCAGGCAAACCTAATGTGATCTCTGCAAATTACTTCATTTCTCTGGGCCTCAGTTCTGTAAAAGGAGGATATTAATACTTACCCAATTGGGTTTTTAGGAGAATTAAATACACACTGAAATAGTTAGAACAGTGCCTGGCAATAGTAAGCTCTCAGTAAATATTAGCTGTTGTTTTATGTTGACCTAAATGTGCCCTTTCACCAATCAGTCATATTCCTAGATGAGGTATTTTAACAAATCACTGACCACTTGAAGGGGGAGGCAATTTATAGAAAATTATGAGCAGATCATGGTCTCCTGGAGCTGTGCAGCACATGATGGGTGGCCTCTGCTAATTTTTTCTTAAAAATCTCAACACTAAGTCTATCCTAAGTAAACTTAGAACTATTCCCTTAGACACACTGTCCACTGCCATCAAACCAAATGAAAAATTCCACAACAATGAAATACACATTAACCTTTCCCCTTTCTTTCCCTAAAGGTTCCTGGGTATAAGTTCTCTTAATATTTTCTGTATTTTGATTTTATATCAAGAACACTTGGATGATAAATAAATATTAAACTAAAATGTAATAGCTATTTCTTTGAGGTTAAAATCATGAAAGAAAGGAACAAGTTTTTATGTTGAAATTGGATCCAAATTTAGAGTAGCAAAATTATTCTTGAAGTTACCAAATTAACCATGGTCCAAAGAAGGACTAACAAACTGTTAGTATCCTGTGGCTGAACAGTTTATTCTGTTAACTGCAACGTAGTAAAGTTATTAGTACTATTTAAATTCAAATCATGTGTATTTTAGTTGATGCATACACTCAACTCACTCAGTTAACTTTCAAACATAAGGGTCCGCTCATTATTAATAATGTGGTATGTTTGTTCAGGTTCTCATTTCTTCCTCTCTAATTCTCAAAGTACTTCTATACATGCTGAAATGGCATTTCAGCAGATGGAAAAACAGTGGCACATCAGGACCAATTTCTTCTTTCAAGGCTAAACTAATACTACATCAGACTATTCTCTAAAACATCTTTCTGAAAGTTAACTAGAGAGAGTTGGCAGTTCTCTGAAACTTGTATACATTTTATTTATTACTGAACTGACCGAATCACATTGAAAACACCTTAAAGTTAATACCCAAATCATCTAATAGGAAAAATCACTATGGGCATCCAGTCCCTTTGGTTGACCTGGGTAACAAAAGAGGCAAAAGACATGGTTTGTGATGAAACCTAAGATTTGAATGCTAGTGTTTTCAAGCTTTAATAAAGTATATACCAATTCCAAGTACCAAGCATAAAAGTCATATTCATGGGTTTATTCTTAATAAGCATCAAAAACAAACTATTCACTGATTCCTATCTTTTGATTTATATTATGCATTCAGAGATGAGTTGATCAGGAAAAAAGTATCCACTGAATGCACCATGTTTAAAAATACAATTAACATTTCAAAACTGTACTTAAAAGAGACAATACTTGAAAAGTTTACTCTATTAATAAAATATGAGACATTATACTGCAGATAAAAATACATTTCTTGTATATACATGGGGATTCCTACATGAAAGAAAGGATTCAGCTCCAAATAGAAAAGGGCTGACCCTTGATAAAAGACTTCTTAGATTGCCGAATTGTTAATGGTTACCATTGTAAGGAGAACTGAAACAGAAGGATAAATGTAAGTTAAAGAAAGGATAAAAGTTTAGTCATATGCTCCTGAATGGTGGCAGAGTTGGGCGAGAAGCAGGAGATGAAGGCAGAAATAAGACATAGAAGAACGGCAAAGAAGGCCTCAACCCTGACTGGAAATGGATGGAGAATCAAGCAAAGTTGAGAACCAATACGCTAATAGTTCCAGTGAAATATCTGAAACTAGAATTTGGCAGTGCGAAGTTACAGAAGCTCAAATCATCTTACAATGGAATTAGACAAAGCATCTAAAATTTACTGGAAAACCAATATTACAGTGACCAGGTAACTCAGTATAATATTACCATTTTAAAAGCTTTCCCAAATAACATCAAGTCACCAGAAGATCTTTGCTTCCGATCATATTCTTTGAAGCGTAAAAAAGTCTCTGACAGGGAGAGACAGCACAGTGCTCCAAAAAGAAACTGCTGAGATGTGTCGGTATCAGGGACTTCATTTGGCCCTGGACAGGCACTGGATCTTGGATTCTTCAAAGTAAGAGGATTGTCCTGGGTTTCTTCCAAGCAAAACATTTTATGGTTTTGTTGACAATGAATTAAGTCGCGACTGTTTAGAACCCCAATTTTGGTGGGGAAGGTAAAGGGGAGAAGTTAATCAAGATAAAAAGACATCACAGAAATTTCATGCAGGGGTAGAACGTTCAAGTTCTCTGATTCCTATTTAATGCTGTATGCATAAGTATCTTGTAAACTGAATTTGTCTAACAGAAAAGTTCCTGCATCCTCAATAGATGAGAATGATCGAAGTACTTGGGATCCTTGATCAATATGAACTACTCACTATCTCTTCTCAAAGACTGGGTTCTTTCTTGATTACCCAAATCCTATATTGAAAGAACCAAGGTGCTAAATGTTCACCACCAGTCAAGTCATGAATGTTTCAAGAAAATTAATTAACCTTGAAACAAAGAAGCATATGTTTTTGGTCAAATTTCAGATGCATACTACTGAAATCAGACATAAGAAATCAGACAGCAGAAATTAATTACTACTGAAATTAGACATAAGAAATTAGATAGCAGAAATTAATTAGTGCTCCCCACCAGGTTAAACATGAAGGGAGGCCCTGAGAAGTCTATAGAGCTGATATACACACAAGTGAGTGTCACTGTTTTGTGTTTTTTTTTTTAACCTAGTTTTATTAAATATTGCTTCTTTGGGATGTGTTTATAACAACTCCCAGAACATTTTCATGTAAGGATTCAAAGCGGTCATATTAAAATACAACTTCAATATAAAGTTTGTCACAGTTTTACAGTATTCAAAAATGACAGACCTGCCTTAGAAAACAAAACCCAAAAAGGACTATTACACCCAAAACATAAGAAAACAATTAAATAAACAAATTTGGCATTTCCATAACTTTATAGTATAAAACAATATTAAATCTATTACTGGTAAGCGGACACTGATGTTTTTCCTAGTTTGAAATGTGTCCCATTTAAACACACAAATTCATTATACAAAAGATTGACGGTCTTTTTGATGAAAGAAGTGCACCCTGAAAATTTCTGCCAGTTTAGGATATTTAGCTCTTAAAATCAAAAAAGTCCTTTTTCTTTTTTAAACTGAAGGCTGATTTCAGATTTTTTTTTTTGTTGTTTTGTCTCATTTGTCAGCCTTCCTGGTTTAAAAACAATAGTGTCTATGGACGCCCACCAGGGGGCAGTGTAAGATTAGCCATTAAATCACGAACAGCTGCAAATATTGTGCATTCACCTGCAACAGAGAAAAATGGTCATTAGCTATTCGCAATACAGGAAAGATGATGTTAACAGACCGGTGTGGGTAGGGTAATTAAATCTAAAATTAACAAGAACTTTAGGGATTGAAATAAAGGATTAAGTTATAACTGCATAGGTTATAGGAGATTAAGCTTTGGTCATAAGTATCAAATGGTATTTGGTTTGGGGTTTGTTTTTTTCTCATGAGATTTTGGGCAAGTCCCAATTAGGTCTGAATTTAAGAATATACACCTAGAATTTCTCTATAGAAACACTCAAGCATTGGATAAGCCCTTCAAAGTTGGGCTGCAAAGCTCCTGACAACTAGCTTATGCATTTTGAATCTAATGAAAAGATCTAGTTTATATTTATGCATTAGTTTACATTATCAACAGTGTCCTTCTAATGTTGCATTAAAGGCCAGAGAGAACTTTCTGTGGTGAAGGGAATATTCTGTATGTGTGCTGAGGCTACCAAGCAGTTGTAATGTAAGCTAGTGTGACCGAGAAACGGAATTTTACATTTTCTTTAATTTTAATTACCATAAATCTAAATAGCCACATGTGGCTAGTGGCAGTTACATTGGTTAGTGCAGTTCTATGACATCTATTGGAGTTTTCTCCCAAATTTCAAGGAAGCGATCAACTTCTGGAGTTCAACATTAAAATTAATTAATACAAAAATAAAGTGACTTTCCTTAAAAGCACTTCACCAAGGGGGAAGTGATGGGTTTGAGAGGAAAGGAGGGAGGCTGAAGTATGCTACAACAAAAATCCAAAAACAAGATCTGTTTGGGGGAGGTGGGCAGCTAATGATTCATCCTCTCAATTTTCTCTTTGCTGAAAGAAACCAAATAGCCTGCCTCTCTGACTTCTTGTAAATATTACATATATTTATAGTAAACCAAAACCAGTTGTAAATATTATAAACCAAAAGCTGGATCCTTTCCCTAGAGCATGGCCTAACACTACAGTGGCTGAAAGTGACAGAACTGAAGACCTCAACTGAATAATGGCCTTCCAGCAGAGGGCAGGATGCATCTTGACTACATGCAAGTTAATGCAACCTTCTCTCCAACCACTGGAAAAGTAAGGTATAGAATGTAAACGAAACCCAAAGATTTTCCCAGTCCAGGGTAGAAATAAAAGGAAAAAAAGAGAGACACTTCCAAAATATCCCAACAATTTCTCAAATAAAAGGAGAAGTTACATCTTTCTTTTTCTTTTTCAAAAACGCATTTTCATTATTGATAGGTAGACAACCTTGCTTGATCCCAATAGGATCAGAACATTCTTTCCTTTTAATTTTAACTTCCACAGGACAAAATGATGAGAGTCATCTGCTTGTGAAGGAATGGTGTTTATTATCCAAGTTCTATGGGACTGCTTCTTTGAAAATTCTGATAGCTTTAAACTTTGATTCTTAAGGACTTATTTTTAGCTGAAAGAAGAATTAAGTCAAAGGATGAAAGCAGAAAATTTTAAGAAGTACAAGAAGTATTACAACAAAAGCAGCATACCCTTCTCTACTTCCCAGTGCATTCCTTATAAACTATACTTGAGTGAGGACTTGCCTATGTGTATAGTATGGGGAAACAAATAGCTAAAAATAGAATTTCTCCCATGATTCCTCTTCCTAGTAAAATTTTGACACTGTGGTATCTAAAAATGTTTCAGAGACCAACTTTCCCTTATTTAAAAACATAATAATGTTGTTATGCTATTCTAAACAGATAAAGAGAACTGCCTTAATATTAAAAATAACGTTTAATTTCCTTAATATTAGAAATAAGCAAAATGGAAGAGATGTTCTCTTAGCTGAGCTTTATGTTTTGAAACCAAAAACTGAGCACTACCAGGCGTTGCGTGTTAAGTGTAGGCTACTACAGTACTGAAGGGACCTTGTTTATATGGCAGAAACATTCTGGTTTCCTCGAAAATGTTCAGGTTTGAGAGCTTCATTGTGCACTTGGTGAAAGGTTCACTTGCACCCGCCTGACACTTATATAAGAAGCCCAAAAGCAGTGATGCCATTTGTATCAGCTTTTATTCTTCACAAAACATTTAGAAGATACAGAATCTTGAATGATATTCTATTCATGATTGAACCATGAAATATGAGAAATCAACATGCATTTCAACTTGGTGATGTACAGAGTGGCAGGTATCGATGGTAGGGCAGGAATTCACAGCCATGGAAAATTCTATCATCATAACCTAGGGCTTTGTGGCAATGTGCGCTATAAATACAAGCTTCTGGCATTAGCAACTGGACAGTCCCAATAGTAAATCACTAACAAAAATAAAGTCCAGGCAGCAGAGACATGGACAAAAATGAAGAACCAGTGAGAAACGAAGAAAGCAATAGGCAGACATTAAGAGGGCCACAGCAACAGGCTCTATTCTAGGATTGGGGGCGAGGCAGGTAAGGAGGAAGCAGAAAAGAGAAGGGGGATCTCTCAAAAGTACTTCTGTAACACATATATGCAATAAAATATCATTGACTGGTCATGTACCTTGTCGTGGTGGGTTCATCTCTGCAAACCTCTTCAGAATGTTGCTGACCATCATGGGAGCAGCAACAGAAGAGTTCTGCTGTCGGGGAATGTCTGCCTGCTGAGTGGTACCTGAAGCCATGTCATAAATGATTGGAACTATAATACTAACAGGTTCTTGGGGAGGGACCGATGTTTTCTGAGTTAGTTGAAGCTGAAGACATACAACACACACAAAGAGAATAAAAACACAGTAAAAAAATAAAACATTTGACTACATTTATCAGAAGTACTATTATTTACTATCAAATTAAGATACATTAAGCAAAAGAAAATTAAGTATGACGAGAGAAGTAACAAACAACTAAATACTATAATTAAGATGCAACTGTGTCATACAATTATCTAGTTCAATAAATTTCTGTGATTACTAAAGGAACCAGGATTACATGAAGTGTAAACTGACAATGAAGGAACATGGGCCAATATTTGGCAGCAACAGTTCATTTCTGCAGTTTTCCAAAAGTTGCTGTATTATCCTCGTATGGCTTTTTCCTCAGAAGCTCTGTACACATGCACATACACACGCCAAGTGGTACTTACAAAAAATAGCATTTTGGATTTTAGCACCACAGCAGGTGTCCCAGGAGGTGCAATTGGCGGTGCGCTGGGAGGGATCGTCAGGCAAAACTGAACATTCCATTTTAGCTGTGTTGCCTGGTCAGGGAACTGTTTTGAAAAAATTAATCATGATAAAATCATATGAACATTTAAAATTATACCCCAGTATAGGAGTCTGAAAGGTTAGAATTTTATTTTATACTCAATTACTAACAGAACATAAAGTTGATAACCTGCAATATTTCAAAGGAAATACATAGGTGAAGTTACTAAATGAAAAGTTAACTCTGGATTTATGTGCTACGTCCCCCTTCCTTCCCTCCCACTTCATTAATCCCCAAGGCCTATGGATTCTGCTGCTTCAGTGTCTCTTACATCTGTTCCCTCCTTTCTATTTTCACTGATGCCACAAAGCTCAGGGCTTTGTTACTTCACCCGTGGCCTCCAATGGTCCCTTCCAGTGGGTACCTCTCTCAGTCCATCCTTATACCACTGCCAGACCAATATCCTAGAGCATGGTTCTAATCCAGCTCACAAATGTTCAGTGACATGCAGTTCCTCCTCCCCTTGGCAAGACCCTCTTGGCAAGACCTGGCACTCAAGGTCCTTCTTAACTGGTGCCAATCTAGACTTCCCAGGCTTTCCAGATCCTTCCCTAAAACAAACTAATCAAACTGGGTTAATCATTTTAAATTATATTCACTAGTGCTTTTTTAGCCATATAAATATTTATTCCTTTCAAAACTCAAATGGTTATCTTTTTGGCATAAATAATGTTTCCTATAGCCTATCAGAGCAGAAGCCAAATGTTGAGACTACGAGAAAAGGAACAGCAATACCACAAACATTAAAATGGAAGGACTACTGTAAGACTGGTAAAATACAACCAGCTGCCACCTGGGTTCTATCTATTGTATACTTTCATAGGAAAGAAGAACAATTAAAAATCTCCCCAGAGAAGATAGATTTTTTTGATAAATGGCATTATGGCCATTGCGGACATCTGAAATAGTTAGATCCGTACCTCACATTTTATACCAAGATAGATTTAAAATGGACCAAAAACTTAAATAATTAAAAAAATGAATCTGTAACAGTATTAGAAGAAACCATGGGAGGATTATTTCATTATCTGTGAGTAGACAGAGCATATTACACTTATTTGCTTCTATAAGAGGTAAGCCACTGGTAACAGGTTGCCTGTGGGGAGGGGGATAGTGTCAGACAGGGATGGATGGGAAATTTCTCACTGTATCATGTTCTAAATTCAAAAGATACAAGAAGATTGTGTTATCCATCAAAGATAAATAACATTTAAGCTAAAAGACGAATTTAAGAGAAAAATCGAAGTATATAAATGGGTGACAGCCAAATAAACACTGCTCCCACCAACTCCAACCTCTTCAAACAGGCCTTGCTATAAAAGTATGTTTCTCTGTAACTTACCAGCTCTAGCTTCATAATATGCACACAGTCCCTGAGGATGTGTGTAGGAGCTCCTAATAGCTTGGTGAAGGCTATTAATGTATTGGCTTTAAATGGTGGTCCTGCAACCTACAGGGATAAATAAAGCAAATTACACTTCATTCTACCTTGACTCTTGTGTTTCATTGATTATATGAAAATTACGCATTAATAAACACATACTCTTGTTTCAAAGAATTTCTCCAAAACCTGAAGTTCATCAGGTTTCCACTGTCCTGCATTTTCAGGTGTCACTTTTAGCTGGAGTGTTTGGTTGGTTTTGGGACTAAGGGCTACTCTGCATTTCAGCGCATCAGTCTTAAACATGATAACTCCAGGTTCATTAGAATTTATCAGCTGTAGCTGCAAAACAAGAAGGATGCATTCAATCAACATGTGAGACAGTATGTACAATAAAGAGAAAATGAAAATATTGTGGAGAGAATTGTTTCAAAAGGAAAACAATTAAGTTGATACCTGTTCCAAAACAAAAATCTAGGCACTGAGCAACATCAACTGCTAAGAATATTGCAAAGAGAGATGCAGACATTATGTGTCTCTTAATGGAAGAAGATAACACCACCTATGAAATATTCTTGCAAAACAAACAACTCAAGCCTAAATTTAGTAGTTAGACCCATAGGATTAATCAATATTATAGAAATACAGGGATCAAAAGAACATGTTAAATGATTTCAAAGGTATGCAATCAGCAAAATCCAGGCCATGAGAAACTCTACAGGACAAATGATTTGGTATTTTCAACAAACGAATTGTACAGGGAGAAATGGAGGGGGAACCCATAGTTTAAAAGGGACTTAAAAACTTGTTTGGGTTCTGACTCAGACTAAAAACTGTGACAACTTGGAAAATCTGGACACCAACTAAATAGGTGATGATAAAGAAATTGTATTTATGGATGAAATGATGTCTGGCATTTGCTATCGAACAATCTAGGGGAGGAGCTATAGATGAAATAATACTGGTATGAGTTCACTGTTGAAAGTGGGTGACAAGAACATGAAAGTTCATTATACTTTTCTCTCACCTTTTGTATTTGCAAAGTTTTCCACAAGATGTTTTTTAAAAAACAAAGAAGAAAAAAGAAATAAAGAATATAATTATAAAATGTTCAATCTGGATTGTGACCTTATGTTAGCCCACGGGGTGGCAGTTTTTTTCTGTAAAGGACTAGAGAGTAAACATTTTAGGCTATATGATCTCTGTCACAACTACTGAGTGATGCCAACATAGCTGAAAACAGCCATAGACAGTAAGTAAATTACTGAGTGTGACTGTGTTCCGATAAAACTTAATTTACAAAAAAAAAAAAAACAGGTGGTGGGTAGGACTTGGCCTCCAGGCCCACAGTTTACTGACCTCAGCTCTAGCCTAATATGTTGATTATGCAGATGAGCAAACTGAGACTCAAAGAGCTTGTAAGTGGCAGAGGTGAGGCTAGATCACAACAGGTCTGATGATTTATTAACTTACATTAAAACTTTTCTTCATTTCAAATCTGAATATAAAGGTTGCAAAAGGGCTTGGTGCCATCCATGGGGTGGATATTTTAAACATTCGCCATTCTGACTACCTCATTAACACATACATATATCAATAAATGTAAATAACATATACTGAGTATCAAAACATCTGTTAAGGGTTTTATATGAAATATCTCAAATTTCCACAGTTATTATGAGTTGGGTAAATACTGTTATCCTCTATTACCAAAAAGGTAAAGAAATTTGCCCAGGCTTATACTAGCAGGCGGCATGGCCTGGCTGCAAATATAGGCGGCCTGACTCTAGAACTGGTGCTATAAACTTTCAACTATTTCCTAAGGGCATCACCATAGGAGAAGTGAGAAGTCTTCATCTATAAGGGTTTTAAATCAGTTCAATTGTACATGTATTTAAAAAGCAGTTTTCTTCCGTGTGAACATAATTTTATTTCACCGGAGACTCAGATTCAAAATCAGCCTGCCTGCAAGGGGATTTCAGGGGGCAAACAGTTACTTGGATACAAAGTCAGATCCTGGGCACACTTGTCCTATAGTGTTGTGGGGACCTATCTCCAGGTTTATCTATGTTAGTAGCCCCAGCACAGCAAACTACAAAATGCAGCAATATGTTCACATTAGAATGGGAAAGAAAACAGTAAGTAGTCCATTTTTAATGCTGGAGCAGGGTGAAAAGCACAATTCTAACAAGCTAGTTAAAGGAGGTAAAGGAATATCATTTTAATTCAGATTCTATTCTGTGGAGCAACTTAGCACGACCTTTGGCAGTCACCCCTTAGGAGTTCATTAGGTACCCATACCGTTTCTTGTTGAATAATTCTTTGAAGGTGTCGTCGCATGATGACCGATCCCAGGAATCTCTCAAGCGGAGAACAAAGGTAACTACCTGCCAGGCCAGGCACGAGGCCTGGTGTTGGAGAGGGCAACAGTAAGATGTTCAAGGCACTGTGAGTGAGGATGGTAGGTATGGAGGCCGCCCAGGAGCGCTGAGGTAGTTTACGAGGAGGAGGCATGTTTGTTGGCATCGTTTGGGAACCTGTTGGGAAGGATATGTCATTTCATTTACAAATACATACTATCTCATTGTTCGCTGTTTTGCTTTCATTACAAATCTTTGATATTCTAAAGCAATCTATACTGTTTTAGTTACTCCTTGTGGTGTAACAATCATATATTAGCTTCCTGTTAGCAAAAGCCATAGCAAAAATTCTCCTCCCTGTAGCCAGGTCTCTTCAATGTGACTTTGGAGCAACTCCTTCAAGGGATGGAGTCCATTTCTCTACCTGGCATCTGGGTTGGCCTTGCACCTTGCTATGGACTACAGAGTGCAGTGGGAGTGACATGGTGCCAGTTGCAAACTTAGGCTTCCACTCACTCTCTTGGAACTCTGTCCAGCTACCAGGTGAACAAGCCTGTGATCAAGTTATGAGACCACATGGAGCAGAGAGAAACCATGCCATCTGGAGTTATTTTAGACCAGCCAGGCCCCAGCCATCTGAGAGCTGACTGCAGACGCATAAGCAAGCCCAGCAGAGCCTGGAAGAATTGCCTAGTTTGGCTCAGCCCAAATTACCAACCTATAGAATGGTGACCTGATACATGACTGTTGTTTTAAGTTTCTAAAAGTTACATAGCAAAGCTAACACATTTCTACAATTCTTCTCTTCTGTGTTAATTTGCATAACCTTGTCAGTTACCTTTAGGTGTCCTGTAAGGTCTAGTATTGCAGCTAAGTTAAGTAGTTATAACAGAGGTATTGGAAATCACCTTGGAAGACTTCTGGAGTAAACATTCACCATTCTTACAGTTTGCCTGACTTTGCAAATTAACTATTGTTAGCCAATTTACTAAATGGATAAAGGTTTAAGTTATTAAGTATTCCCATTCAACAAGTAGGTCATGGCTTTCAAATGTGAGGATGGAAAAAAAAAATAGGTCACCTGGAGGTTATACTAAAATCAAACATAAAAAGGTTGATGACACTCACTTGTTCCAGCTCGAGGGGAATGAGAAGCATCTGGAACTGGAGAATGTAGTGATGGGTTAGCCGGTGACATTCCAGGCATGCGTGTTGCTGGTGAGGGGCCAGACACTTGAGGAGATCCTGGCCAGTTCCCTGCTCGCCCACTTGGTGACACCATAGTGTATGGAGAACTCGGGTCCAGGGTTCCTGTAAACAAATAAACAAATGGTTTTCAAAACCTGTATTTTCATAACTGAAAAGTATTTGACAGCAGCAAATGCTTATACTTTACACAGTGATAAGTTTACTTTGTCTTTCAGTAAGATATTTCACTGAAGCATGATGCTTCTTAACATAGTATTGACTAAGAAACGTACCAAGAATCGTTTTGAAAGTAGCAACATCCTGAACAATTTGATACTTAAATTTCATTCTGCAGATACTGTTAACATGTTATTTATACCCCTTTGTAACCAAATGACACACTGAGAAAATATTTTTACAATGTATCAGAGAGCAAATAAGCCTATCTTAAAAGTCTTATAAATTGGTAAGAAAGAGACACAAGAACATATAAAGGATACAAACTAGCAAGCATAAAATAAAAAACACCAAAGACCAACGAACATTTTTTTAAAATGCTCAATTTTACTAACAATCATAGAAACACATATTAAAGAATAAGATACCATATTTCACCTATCAAAATGACCAAGATTCTAAAAAATCATAATTCCCTGTGTTGGCAATGGTAAAGGAAAAGATACATTGTTACATGATGCTGGAGGAACTTGGTACAGCCTTTTAGGTGACCAATTTGCAATATGTTTCAAAGGCTTAGCATTTCTCAAACCCTTTGAAACAGCAATTCCATGTCTAGGAACTTACCTAAGGAACTAATCATGTGAGCAGAGATGATACCACTTTTAGTTGTGAAATAAATGAAACATTCTAAATGTATAATAAAGAGAGCAGTTAGATTATGGCATGCCCAAACCAGGGAATACTATAAATCCATTTAGTATGATGATGTAGTTTCTACTGACAGAAATGTGCTTGCAAATATTAATAATAAAGAGTAAAATCACAGATGCTACATATACAGCTGTAAAAACAGAGGAAGCTGTGATTTATGTTGTGATTTGGCTGTTATTCATGATAGTAAATGGAAAAAGTAAGGCACCAAATACCATGTGCAGTATGCTGCCATGTGTGTAAGAGAGAGGGGGAAAGAGCATTTACACATACTCGCTTGTGTGTGCATAAAACATCTTGGCAGGAACACATGAGAAATTAATAACACTAAATGCCTCTGGGAAGAGGGACTAGGTGGGTGGTGGAGCAGAAAAGAAACACTTCACTGGCTATCTTTTCTATTCTTTATCTATTTGAACCAATTCAAAATAGAATTTTTTAGTTTAAAATTTTAAAAAATTCAAGTCTCAACACACATGGTAGGGTCCGATTTCGTGGGGGTGTGTGTGTGAGGAGGAGACAGGCAGAAAGGTAGAGAGCAAGCGAGAGCAACAGAGATGTGAGCAGGTAGGCAGGCTGGGGGTGTGTGACAGAGGAAGAGCGAGGCAGAGCAATGGGGGAGAGAGTCCAAAGCAGACAGACTAACCAGTAGATCTCTGTGTGATGGGATTAGGAAAAATTTATTTTCTTTTGTTACTTTTCTAATAAAGAAGTGCTAATCTTGCCATAAGAAAATTATTTAACAAAAAATTACTTTCACATCACATTCTTATGCTATCACGATTTCCATGTATGGACTCACCATGTGGACTAGCAAAACTGGCCCCTGGTCCTATTGAGATTCCATGTGAGGATGGGGGAGGAGTTGGAACAAATGACGCTGGTGATGGGGCTCTCAAAGCCCCACTAGGGGAGCTGGCGGCATGCAGATTTCCTAATAAAGGAAAATAATCATAGATGATCTTGCAGGACACACGTCATGCCCTGTCCAAGAAACCCCAAGTTAAGACTTTCTCTGTAGGCTAAAGAAACAAGTAATAAAGCTCCCATAAATAGAACAAAGAAAATTGGAAGGATTTCATTATTAAAAAACAGAGAGAGATAATTCCATGGGACCCAAATTCTAGCATGTATATTGGCTAATTTTTAAAAAAAATACCCATTGTACTTTTTATTCACTCATTCAACGAGTAAGCATGAAAGTTAATTTCATGCCAAGCATTGCTGCAGGCTCTGGGAATGCAGCTGTTAATGAGACAAAAATTCCTGCTCTCATGGAGATTTATATTCTACTAGAATGAGAAAGAAATATATGTCAGGTAGTGATAAGTACTATGGGGAAAAACAGGGCAAGGTAAGGAAGTGACATCATGTAGTGGTGGAGGTGGGTGCTCTTCTTTATATAAAGCAATCAGAGAAGACTTCTCTAAGAAGGGGACGTGTGGGCTGAAACAAAAGAAAGTGAAGGGGAAGGCATGAGGATATCCAGGGGATAAGATATTCCAGGCAAACAGAAGATCTAGTGCCAAGGCTCCAAAAGTAGCAGTAGTTATAAATAACAGGGAGGCCACCATAGCTGGAACAGCATGAGAGGAAAGTAGGAGGAGATGAGGTCAGGGAGGTGTGTATGTGTGGGAGGACTTGGTGGGGGTGGGGAGTGGTCCAGATCACACAGGGACTCATAGGCCACTCTTAGGACTCAGGTTGTACATGAGTAAGATGGGAAGCCACTGCAGAGTTTGGAGCAGAGGAGTCATAAACTAACTTCTGTTCCAGAAGGATCATTCTAGTTGCTGTGTGAAAAACAGAATATTGGGCAATGGCAGGGAAACCAGTTAGAGGCAACTGTAATAATCCAGGGGAGAGATGGTTAGTAGCTTGGGCAAGTGTGAGGGCTGAGGTGTTGAAAAGTGGTTAGCTGGATCAGCTCTGAATAGAGAGCTGATGGTATTTGGTAACTGACTGAGTGGGTGAGAGAGAGGGGTCTGACATGGCCAACAGCTCTGGCCCAAGTAGCAGGAAGGAAGGGGCTGCCATTTTCAAAGATGGGGTGTCTGTGGGACAAGCAGCCCAGGGCAGGGTAGGGCAGGTGTTAAGAATTTAGTTTCAGCCATGCTGAGTTTCAGATGTCTAGACATCTACATGGAAATGCTGAATAGATAGTTGGAAAATATAGCACTCTATTTCAGGGGAAAGGCCTAGATGAGAGAGAGAAAAAAACTGGGAGACATGAGCTTAAATATGGTATTTAGACAGAGGACTAATTTAATTCAGGATTATGAAAGGGGAAACCATGGTTACCAAAACTATGAATGAAACATGAAAATACTTGCTACATTACCATAAATAGCCTCAATATCAGCAGGTTTCAAATTGTCTGCTAATGTAAGAGGACCTCGTATGTTCTATGTTCTGTAGCACCCAATGCAGTACCTTACATTCAATAAATACACTGATCAACTTAACTTTTGAGTGTTATATTTACATACTGGCCTGCGGATTTGCTGTGTGGATTACATGGGTAAAGTGCTTACAAGAACATAGCTTGGCACACAGTAAGCACTATATACCTGCCTGCTACTATAATTATTTCAAGAGAATGATTTCTCCTTCTATGCAAAACCAGTCTCCACTTATATCCTACACCCCCTCTGGGCTCTATGCCCACGTTTCCCGTTTTCCTCCTTGCTCCCTGGCTGCTCCTTCTCAGGCTCCTACATCACTGCCAGGGCTCCTCAGGGGCTGAGCTCACCCGCCCACTCAGGCTTCAGTGACCGTCAGTGACAAAACAATGACTTCCAAGTCTTCATCTGTGGTCAAACCATCTCTCATGAGCAGGTAAGGGATTATATCTACCCACAAAAATCTGATACCCATCTTCCTTAAGATGGTAAGTTCCAGAGCAGAGCTGCTATGGGGCTCACTGATGAATCTCAGCACCATGCAGTATTTGGCACAAAGCAAGTGCTTCAGTGGTACCAATGAACTGTTCAGTTAAAAGTAAAAATTTGGCATTCTTGAGCAATTTTATAGCATACTTCATGGGGCTGCCAGCAGAGCCATTTGTTTGGACAAGCAGGCTGTGCACTGACCAATTTTAAGGGGTGGGGCACTGTTCACATATACAAGGGCTTGGCAAACTTCCTCTGTAAGGGGTCATCATAGCAGGAAAGCAGCCAGAGACACGACATAAATGGGTGTGGCTGTGTTCCAATTAAACTATTTACAAAAACAGGTGGTGGGCAGTGCTTGCCACCGGCCTTAGTTTGTCAACCTCATAGATCATGTGATTAGCACATCTTGGAGTTGTGCCATGAGTCTGGCTCTGGGTGACAATACCTTCACTCAATTCAAACCTTTTAAAGTGCTCCTGAATCATGAACGTAGATTTCAGAACCCTGCCAAAATGAATGAATGGCAACTATCTAGCCACAGACTAGAAAAGGAGTACTCTCTGAAGTCTAGGGCTACATGTGCGATGATTCTCAGTATGTGTGTGTATATTTGGGAGTTAACACGACAGTAAGTAGTCTCTTACCTGGAGACTGGGTGTGCATCATAGAGGGAGACTGATTAACTGTGCTGTGATAAGATGCAGGAGGTGAAGTAAGAGGGTAAGCACCTGATGATCCTGGTTGCTTTGGAAAAGGCTGAAAAGAAGAAAAATATTTGTAAAAATGGCCAACTGCATATAGTATAAAGTATATATAATATATAGCATCTAGCTACAGTGTTATAATTAACACACTTCATTGATTACCACATAGGAACTGTGAGGTATGAAAATGTGCAAAATACACATCAATTAATACACATTTTTTAAAACTCCGACTTTCAAAATGTTTTAAAAATAGCAACATCCTCATTCCTGACCTTGTAATACCATTACTTACATCCCTTAAAGATGTTTATGCTCATTTTATCTACCAGGTCACTGACTTAACTCTATTATCTACTATTTCATTGATTCTAAGATATTTTTTCCCCACATTTTAACATCTCTGGAATCAGGGTGTATCTTTCAATTCATGACATGTCACAGCTTAACTGGCAATGTTGTTTCTATCAGTGCATAAAAAATAAGGTATCTTAGCCCTGGAGGATGACTGGTTGGCCAGAGACGGGTGGGATTCCTCAAGGGAGGAGAAACCTAGGGCAGGCACAGTCGCAGGGGGGCCGTCGGGTGGGAAATTGGGGATCAACAGAGGTGAGGTTTGGAACCTCACCCCCCGTTTTGAGAGAAATCTTCTGCATCCATGGATGTTTTGTTGCCCTTGTCTAGCTTGGATTAATACTTAGTCTATAGGCACAGACCTGATCATCTACATTTGCCCTCTTACAGCACTAAATTATGTTTTCTACCTTTATCTTGCATCTACCTACCACTTCAGCATTTTATTAAAAAAAAAAATAATAATAATAATAAGGGAGAAATGTGGGATTCACATATAAATCAAGTATAAAAATCAAACGAATAATCATATCTGACTTGATTGTTTATAGTTATGCGTGATCAAAACTGAAAGTTTCTGTGATATGACTGCCCTTGCACTGTTTACCATGTAGGAACTTATTCACTATGTAAGAACTTGTTCAGCATGTAAGAACTTGTTCGTTGTGCTTCAGAAGATTGGAGACTGTTGAGAATTGGGCTTGGGGTTGATTGATGATTGTGCACTGGGTCTCCTATGCAGAGTTTTGTTGTTGTTGGCAACCATTTGATCAACGAATGTGAGAGATGCCCTCTCAAAAAAAAAAAAATAAATAAGGCATCTTACATTTGGTGGAGTTTTAGAGTCAATGAATACGGTGGTTCAATATGACTCTGACTTACCTTTACCTTCATCTCCAGTAATGAAAAACCTAGGACCATGCAAGCCTTCCTAGTCTATGTTTTTAAATTGAGGTATGAGTCACATATACTATGAGGTATGAGTCACATATAGTAAAGTGCACAAATCTTAAATGTACAGTCTGATGAATTTTTACAAGTTTAACTGCCACATAAATCAAGATCATGAAGAACATTACCAGAACTTGAGAGGCCTCCCTCATATACCTTCTAAGTCTTTATTGCCTCTCCAAAGGTAAGCACTATCTTGCCTCCCATCACTTAAGCTTGGTGTTGCCTGTTTTTGCATTTTATGTAAATACTGAATGAACTCATTAATGTCTTGGCTTCTTCTACTCAACATTATGTCAAGCAAAATTTGTCATGTTGTTGCATATAGCAAGTTTGTTTTTTTCATTTCTGTTAAATATTCTACTGTAGAAATACACCCCAATTTATTAATTCATTCTACTGTTGCTGGTGTTTGGGTTGTTCACAATTTTTGGATAAAAATGTTGGTATGAACATTCTTAACATTTTTTGATACATTTTAAGCACTAATTCTGCTGTGTATACACCTAAGAGGATTACTATACCATAGGTATCCCTGATGTTCAGCTTTAGCACTCTGGAACACTGATAAACACCACTGCAAGGTAGTTGTACCGTTTTACACACCCTCCAGTAGTAAATGAGAGTTTCTGTTACTCCTAATACCAAGTTTGGCAAGGATTATCAATTTTTTCCTCAAAGCCATTTTTGTGGGTATGGAGTATTATCTCACTGAGGTTTTAATTTGTATTTCTGTGATGCCAAATGATGCTGAATACATTTTCTGAACTTAGGGGCCATTTGGACACCCTCTTTTGTCATCACACAGGTGATTTACCTGACATTACTTTAAGCATGAGTCTGAGCTTAATGCTATTTAGTATGCTTACTGCTATTTCTGGTAGCACCCACTTCCCATTTCTGGAAGCCACCTCCTCATCTCCCTCTGTCACTATTTTTTCATATGGACTTACTAGGCGTCTTGGGCCTGCCAAGGACCTCCTTGCCTCTCAACAATGAAGCCCAGACACCTGAGAACCTGTTAAGTTACAGGAATGTGCTACCATTTGAAATTTCAGCTAGACATCACCTGTTGCTGGGGTGGCGGCTGGAGCTGTGAGATTAAAGAATCCATCATATCCCCTCCTATTGGAGAAGGGGGATTATCGTCCTCGTTTACAGACCTTCTTCGAGCATCCTGATTGCTGTCAACAAACATATTCAGGAATGTCTATGGATATAAACAGGTAAAATTCAGATTATTTTATCTAACTTTAATAAGATATCTTTAATTATTTAGAATGCTTTAACAGAAACAAACATACTATGTCCATCTCTGAAATGTAGGTTGAATACATGGCCACTATAATTAGGACAACCTGAATGAGATATTGATAATTTTGAAGGAAGGGGTCTTCCTTCAAAATTAGCCTGATTTCTAATTAAAGATGATGGATTCACAGCATGTATTTAATCTTCTCCCAATACCCTGCTGAAATACTCTCTAAAAAAAAATTTTTTTTTAAGCACTAAGTTACAAAGACAGAATGGGAGAAGAGAAAAATAGCAATAAATTCTGAGGCCACAGAGCAGATGGTTGAGTGGTAACTGAACTATCTGATGTGAGGAAGTTGTATCTTAAAGTAAGCAGTGGGGAAAGCAAAGAATCAAAGCTTTTTCTGTACAGATCCCCAAGATACATAGGAACTGGCAGCACCAGACACCTCTGGAATGGGGATTAAAGTGGGACTAAGAACAGAAGGGTTGAAAGTCCCTTTTAGAGACCCTGGAACCCTCCCATAGCCCCTGTCACTCCCAATGAGTTAGGCTGACCTCTGCCACCCTAGAGGACAGTCTCTGACTTGGGGAACTCTAGAATCAACAAAAAGACCTAAAGCTACTGACACTGGGAATTATCCACAGAAATGGCCCAATTCTGCAGTAAAGAGACCACATCCAACAAGTCTCACCTTTACACAGGAGCAGAGAGTTAAGAATCACTTAATATGTGAGAAAAGACACTAATATGAAAGAGAGCAAAACAAACAAAAGAGAGCAAAATGAACAAAAAAGCAAGATGGATGTAATAGAGATTATATAGGAAGAAAAGAGGTAAGAAAAGATAAATGTAGCCACAGAGGGCTGAATATCATAAAATGAACATGTAGAGACAAGAAAGCTCTTGGAAGCATCTTTTTAAAAAGATGACAAAGAAAAAATATTTGGCAAAGATGAAAAACAGAAGGATTGAAAGGAAAAAAATAAGGAAATCTCCCAGAATCAAAGAGATAAAAAAATGAGAGGATTGAGTCCAGGATGCCCAATACCAGCATAGTAGGGGCACAAGAAAGAGCTAACAGAGGAAACAAAGTTGATACAGAATGCAAGGAAATTCCTCAGAGCAAAAGAATGTAAGTTTCCAGAGTGAAAGAGCCCACTCAGTTGCTTAAGGTTCAAGAATTGGAACAGTATTAAATGTCTCAATGGTCATAATGAAAGCTAGAAGAGACAAAGGAGCAGCGCCTTCAAAATTCTTAAAATTATCGCAACCCAGAATTCTACACCTAGCTACTCTCAATTAGATGAGGGTAAACTAAAGAGGCTTTCAGACATACATGATCTCAAATTAATCTCTCATGTACCACCTTACAAGAAGCTACTTAGGAGGTATTCCACCAAAACAATGGAGTAAACCAAGAAAAAGATATGGGGTCCAAGCCACAGGGCAGGCAACACAAGAGAGAAGAAAAGGCATCTTCCTCTTCACCATCCTTCTACAGATTCCTAAATTAAAACTGTATAAAAGGTCTGGAGCACTACCATTCCAGACTGGAGTTCAGAACACTGCAGAACAGATTTCTTCAAGATGAAACGAGTAAGGTATCTGATATATGAATGTACTGAGGGGAGAGTTACATATATGAGAGAGATTTTAAGGTTGAGCTAATAGTAAGTACAGAGAAGGCTAAGCAAAAAAAAAAAGAGTACATTAATACTCCCCAGAACAATATTGAAAAGTAACCACAGTAAGCTTGGTAGAATAGTGTTTACATATTCATAATAATGTGAACACCAAAAATGTATCTAATCAAAACTGCTTCCTAACCATATTGCAAGACTGGAAGGAAATGAAGAAGGTGTATGTATAACTAACTAGGTGCAGCCTGGAAGGGGAAGGGGCATATAACAAAGAATCAAAATAGAATTAACTCCCCATCTTCTATTGTATCAGATAATTCCCTCAACGGAGAAGTCAATAAATAGCACTGTAAGCATGGTATTTAGAGAGAAGGATGTAAATACCCAGAAAATCACCATATAAGAGTTGAAAACAGAGCAGGAAAAATGGCAAGAGTGGGTTACAGGGACTAATTTTCAAAACAAGCCATTTGGAACTATTTGTTACTAAACTATAAGCACACACAATTGAGCTATTATACCAGAATCTCCAAGGACTGTGGCCCAGGATCCTACACTTTAATAAAGCATCGTGGTTGAAGTGATGAATCAAACCTTTTCAATAATCAATGATAAAGACTACTTTTGAAGTTCCTTAAAGTTCCAAATAGCAAATAGGACTCTCTTCAGTATCTTCTGCCTTACTCAAAACAAGGTAAGGAAATAAAGGAAAGACACTTTATCATCTCATATACGTAGGCACAGAACTTGTTTATCAGAACTTCCAGCTACTTCTGAATGAAGTTGCAGATATGATGAATTAACATGGCTACTTATAACATTTAAACAGGAATTTGTTGCTTTTCCCCATTATTTCCCCCTCAAAGGAATTGTTTTAGACATTTCATTTATGTATACTTACGCTATAACACTAAAGTCTATTACCTTTAGTCCTGGTGCAGGATAAAAACCTTCAACTAACTTGCTATTATCAAAAAGACTATAGGCACCATCCCGTATTGCTACAACACCTCGACTCCGACAGTATATATCAATGCAGTACATGTTCCTGAAGGCCAGTCTGATGTGCGTGGATGACTGTGGCAGAATGGAGAAGCACTGGTAAGCGGTGTTGGTTCTCTGGGTCAAGCCCAACATTGGCACAGTGGGGAGTTTGTTGATGGCATTTAAAGGAGCCTGAGTATCAAATAGTACCTATAAGGAATAAACACAATGAGCAGAGCCAATTTCTGTATAAATGCTAAAGCCTTAGAATTTTCAATGTATAATAATCATAAATGAGATATGTTCTTCTGGCACATGCCATAAAACTTTCTCTTGAAGAGAATGCAAACTAGATCACTATGTCCATTTTGAATCAGATAAAATTCTCCAAGAGGGCCGGATATAAAAGACAAAGGTACCCAACCAACTTGTCATTAAAGACAAGTCCACATGATTTTTGAGGAGTTTTAAATGAGATACTAACATTTGACTCTAATTTTTAAACAGAAAATAAACATAATTACCTGTAATAACTGAACTACGTTTGGTGTTTTGTTGAACATCTCTTGAAGCTGATGGAGAATGGTATTGTGACAGTTACTGCAACCTGAGTTTGGGCCGACAGTTCCCAAGGAAATGTGAAATTTCTGATGTATGGAATTCCACTGGATACTAATCTAAATTAAAGAGATTGCATGTTTCAGAAACTGACAAAGCAGATTCAAGTAGAAGAATAAATAATGTTTAAACAGTAAAGCACAATGCCAAAGATGTAAATGAGGTCTTTTTTGAAAGTAACTCATAAGACTGGAATTCTGTAAATTCCAAATGTGCTATCACTGTGGACCAGTATATTTGCTGAATATGTGTGTTAGATAGCCCACTTCTACTAAGTAAAACAGAAAGAGCAGGTGCTAAAGAAAACATTTTGATTAAACTTTATTTGAAAATTGTCTTTGGTGTTTCTCATTTTTCATTTTTCTTGAACTGAAGAATCACCCTCTAGGTAAGCACTGTCAGAAAGGGAAAGGAAGCCACTTCCAACACAGACACCTTCAAGCTAACAAATTTTAAAACACTCAAGTAATTTCTGGTATTATTTGATGAGGATGAGTCTGAAAAAAGCCAGCTGGCTGAATTTTTATACTAATTTTCTTGGACTTTATATATGGGGTGGGGAAAAGGTAAGGAACTACAGATTATGGGGAATACTGTTAAGATTAAGATAGGATTAAATAATGTTAATAATCATGTGATCAAAAGCATAGATGTACCATATTGTTCAAAACCATTCATACATAATCTTCACTATTGTAATCATGTTGCTAAGTAGATTTTGAAGTCAGTGAAGAAAAAGATACAAACACCCGAAGTACATTACTTTGTCCAAAACCCATTAAGATTACATACCCATCAAAGAGGGTATAATTTGTATTTTCAGTTTTAAAGAATTAAGCATTATAGTATGCCATATTTATATCAACAAAGTATTTAAAATTCACCATTTTATCCCTGATTTTTACTTGAGCCCTCAATTGTTTCAAGGCAATTTTCATAACTTTTGAATTCTTGATTTTTAAAAGATTTATGAGAGGAGCTTTGGTTTTAATTAAATTACAGACTTACTGAGCTTCCTTTGGTGGTTCCATAACACAAGATAAGTTTTCGGTAATTATAAACACGAACTTCTGAGAAAATATTTAGATGGGCAGGTATGTCTAAATAGAATGGAAATAAAAAGATCAAGATTATACATGTAAAATTTAAAAATATGTATTTGAAAAAGGGCATTTAGGCAATGTTATATGCCTAGGTAGAAGGTTCTCTAAACATATACTTCAGGAAAAAGAAAAAAGAAAAAAAAAAGAAAGCAACAGCATAAATAGGTAGTAGGCTTTCCTTTCTACAAAAAGGGGGCCAGGGCAAGGGTAGAGACATAGTGAAGCACAAAAGTCTAGGAGTTAAGGGTTCCAGTTCCAACTCTGCCATTTACTAGCTATGTGACCAGCAAAGCTTCTTAGTCTTTGTGACTTGTTTTCTTCATTTGTAAATCGAGAAACAATAAATGCCCTACTTCATAGGGTGATTGTGATACTTAAACGAGTTAACATAAGCAAACTGTTTACGGCATTATATGGCTCACAGTAAAATCTCAGTAAGTACCAACTATTATTATAATATGGTATATACCTGTCTGTAAAAATTTCTGGATACATCAGAAACTTAACAATCGTTCTCTCTGGGGAAGGAAATTGAAGTCTGAGGTAAAAGGGAAACTAATTTTTCATTAGATATACTTTTGAATTTTCTTTTTTTACAAGGTGCATGTTTTACTTCTTCAATTAAAAAGGGTGGGGTGGGGGTAAAGAATGCTTTTTCTTTTTTTCCCAAAAGGAAGATTATCATATATACCTGGTAGAGAACGTGCAAATTCCAACACACACTCATATAATCGTGCAATGCTATTCCAGTCATTAAGGAACATTTCAACCACTTTTCTACCACCAACAGGTTCAGATAACAGGTTTTCATATGTCAGATAAACATGTCGGGATGGTCCTATGGCATTAAAAGAGTTGAACAGCAATCAATACTAAAAAAAATACAGAGATATGCAAAGACAAAGTGTGTGAAGCATCTCACCTTGCTCCCTGGTAGAAGTGCCATTAAGTGGACAATTTGCAAATACTAATTCTGCCACCCAGGTGCGGTTATTTCTACCTTGCAGTCGGAAAGTGCACTCGAGAAGAGAGCGGTCCAGAGCCTTTTGGGTTTCTTCATTTACACCCTTACAGGGAGGAATTCTGGTGATGAAAGATAGCATATGAAGTGTACTTCACATCACAGAAAGACAAAAGCACAATCTACACAATGACAGGTGGGGTATCACGTTAGAGCTTCAGTTCAAACTCCACTACTAGGCACCTTCTGCAAAAGAAGGAAGCAATTCAAAGCAATTCATAGCAATTAATAGCATTTAACCCATTTCCATTCATATCAACATGGATTAGGACTAACTTTAACAAAGTGATGCTTGTCTTCATCCTTAATCTTGTTATTAGAAAAGACCACCTTTCTTCAGAATGAAAATCAAGGATATTGGCTTTCTATTAAATCTACCTAGAGCATCCTCAAGGAAAAGCTAAGGGAACAAAATATTTGTAAAACCATTCTTTGAAGGCAGGAAGATAACAGTGGAAAGAACCAGGGGTTTGGCATCAGGGACCTGCATTCTAATTCTGACTCAGTGACATTTAACCTCTCTGAATTTCAGTTTCCAAACTACAATATGGAGATAAATAATTACTTTGTGGGTCATTGATTATAAAACATGACAAAACACAAAGTGCTTATGGTGGTTGATACAGCATTCATATATGTCTATCCCCCCTTGCAGTAAAACCAAGTCTTGATGACTGACTGCCATGACAAAATTCTAAGTTCATTATCTCCCACCTCCCCATCATCCCTGCAGAAATAATACTCATTGGGATGGAGCTTTATATGCACTAACTTATTTAACCTACATATTTCACATATATACATCACATATACAAGAAGATTATATTAGTTTCAGTGTCTTAAAATACCTAACTATCCATTTTCTTCTTGCAGCTTTATGGACTACCTTATTTGTTGTAAAACGTTATGAGGTAATATATTTTAGCTGTTTTTCAGTAATGAATGAATAATGAGATAATATCTAATTACATATTATCCTTTAACTCCTAGGGAAGGTAGGATAATTCTTAGACTTGGTGTAATGATTATAAATATCTAAGGCAAAAAACAAAAAATATAATATGAAATACGGACTCTTGGTTCAGGCCTCTTATTCAAACAGGGTTTCTCAGTCTTGGCAATACTGACCTTTTGGGCTGGTTAAGTCTTTGGTGTGGGGGCTGTCCTGTGCAGCCCTGCCTCTACATACCAGATGCCAGTAGCAGCTCCCACCCCATCTTCTCAGTTAATGACAACCAAAAATGTCTCCAAACATTGCCTAATGTCCCCTGTGAGGCAAAACTGCCCTGGGGTTGAGAACCACTGACCCAGAATAAACAACTTAAAAGAGAAAAAAGAGACACAAATTGAACATGTATTTATATGGAGAAGAGAGCTACATAGGTTGTATAAAAATGGAACTAATGTAGTACTGAAATTTTCTCAATTTAATTAAAAGTTCTACCACAGCTCCTCTTAAATTTAAGCACAGGTTTTTATGTTTTCAAAAGTTAATCTCTCATAGTACATACTTTCTACCACTTACCACCAGAAAGACTTTGTCCAACATTATTTGGGATAGTTATTATAGAAGTCACATCCACTGCCTATATGCTTTTCAACTTCACAGGTATGCTGAGGATTTTTGCCTGCCCTTATCTCTCAAAATATAACCCTAACCCACAGGAGTTATGAAGCAGCCAACTCAGATTTTTAAATCTTTATTTTGAAAATATAAATGTAGCACATTAACTTCCTTTCACCAAAATAGGTGTTTCATGAAATCCATCTGGCTAGAAAATGAATACACAGAAACCAACATGTTTTCACATAAGAACTAGAGGTAAGGATAAGACTCCTTTCAGTGTATGCTCTCAGAGATAACACAACCCTGTCAAGGCCTTCTATGTCATTTCCTTAATCTTTGATACAGATACAATTGGCTCTACTTCAAGAAGCCTGTAAAATATTTACTTGCTTTTAAGGTTATAAATGTAAGAATAAAAATAAACTATAATTATAACTTTGATCCTCCCAGCATGATCATGTGAGGAGGAAAAAAAGGTTCCCCAAAAGGAAACCTGAAAAATTGTTACGAACTCAAATACTGCAAAATACTATTATATTTGCCAAAAATTAAGAACTGAGGAAGATGTTTTATGGAGAACGGATTAGCCTTCTCTGAAAATTTCTACCAATTCAAAAAAGTTTTTCGATGTAAACAGCTACTCCTGACTGATTTTTCTGCTATAATTCCGAGTAGTGAATGAAGTGAGGAACTAGGCTTCGGTCTTCTAGGGCAGGTGTGTCAGCACTGCTCCTTTTCCACAGTCACTTGCTGTATGTCAGTTTCGTGCTGAGGGGTTTTGCAAACACCAGTAACCATGTTATGTACCCTTGGTGCAAAAGTGAAGGTATCACTGTAGGTGCTAGGAAAAGAAGTATAATGATGCCTACAAGGGAAGTGAAGAGGGTTTGTAAAGGTTGCACATGAATACGCAGAAGGACTGAGTCACATAGAAGATACAAGCTGAGTCACACAACTTGCAAAAGAGAGCTATGCCTCTGCGTTTTCTGCATAAACCACAAGAGGTAAAAAAAAACACAATGGATGAGATGAAAATAACCGTGTGGGTGTGGCTCGAGGAGCAGCCCCACTGCCCATTACTGTAATGTTAGTTCAGGAGAGGGTGGGATATTTGCTCAAGAGCTCCGAACTAGACACTAGTGAGATGCTGCTGGGGGCTTGGGTCATTTGTGTTGTAGGATCAAGGCTCTTTTAAATCTGCACAAGGCAATTGGTCCATAAACCAGGGCAATCTAAGGTGTTTACCATGATTCTCAGATACACCAAGGAGGCATGCTCAACAGGTCTTCAAGGAGATACATTTAACAAGAACAGAAAATATTTTTAGCAAAGAGGATAAAAATGTGCTCAATTTTAAAGCTCTGAAGTATCAACTCATTCGCTCATTTAATATTAATATATCTAGGACTAAAAGGTTAAAAAGAGTTTTTCTGAAAATTAAATGCATTAGAACAATTATATACTAATTAGATCTATGCCAGATTTTAATTTAATAAAATCATGTTTAAACATTTATTGCTTACTTTTTTTCTTCATTTCTATACCCCACCCCCATAATGGACAGCATGTACAAAACACATGGCTTTAATTTACCCACTTCTATATATTTTCCTTTTAACTTTTAAATCAAGAAAATAGCCAGAATACAGTCAAGATTTTCTTAAAAATTACCAGTGAAATGAAGCTAAAAATTATGAAGTACTTCCTTCCCAGGTAGGACTATTAGGAGTTCTCTTGAGTTCAAGAAGAAAGGGGACTGAAATTTCTTTCATAAAAATGCTTAGAGTAATATATTTATAAACTCTTACAAAACATGAAAATATAAGAGAACAGAACACAAATGTTAACATGATATATTTAACTGCAGTTGCCAAGAAGAGTAAGAAGGAAAATAAAACAAACCTGTATTTTAGGCAGCGTCATTGAAAACCAAAGGCCATTAAATTAAAAGTATGACATTTTCCTACTGATTTCCATTCTAAGACCAGCTCTCTCTCCTGAATACTTTTTGTAGGGATGGCATTAAGATAGCCAGGGAAGTTATTCTAGCTCGTCAACTCTTTATCTAAAGTGAGCACCATGACACAAGGGTGGAGCGCATGCTACTTGCGCTTCTGATATTCTACAGAAACAAGTTGATTCCTAAGTAACAAAATTAAAGCCCCACTGGCTCAAACTGCAGAGCTGCCATGTCTTGGCAGGCAGAGTAATCCAATAATAAAAACTGCTTGCATGACTTATATTATTAAGCAACATCTTAGAAACAATACATATGCCAAAAAAACAACTGTTCTCTGCACCAAAAAAGCTGCTCTCTCAAATGGCGATCTAGCTTTGCAAGTCCATCCTGGTGACTGTATATGGTACATGCACTGCATCAGCTTTCCTGCTAAGCCTCCTTTGGCCCCTGTCCTCTATCCATTTAGAACCAAGCCTTTTGCCCATCTCCCTGTATATTCTTTGCTGGTAATCTAACTTATATCTCAGCTCACTTATTATCTGACTCATCTACTTCTCCTGCCCAGACCTGTCACCTGAGCTTGAGACATATCTTTGCCTGCCCAAAGGGATGTCTAGGCTCCTCAAACCCCTCAAACTTAGCAAAGGCCCTTCAAACTCACATCTTCAGTATCCTTTATCTCAGGAAACCCCATAATCATACATCATTTGCCCAAGACAAAATTAAGAGTCACCTTTGCTACCTTCTCCCCTTCAATATCAATCTAATCACCAGCCCTTGCATATTTCATCCCCTCAATCCTTGTGGAACTTTCCCTGGTTCAAGCTACCAACAACTCTGGTGTGAACCATTTCAGCAACTGGTTTCACTACTTCAGTCTTGTTTCCCTATAATTTATTCTCTATTGCTATCAAGGTGAGTTTTCAAAAACACCAATGCAATGATGACAACTTCTGTTTAAAATCATCTGACAGCTCCTTATTGCCATTAGGATAGTCTAAATTCCTTAAAGACACTTATAAAGCCCTAAAGGATCTGACCCCTTCCCTGCTGACACCTCTGGCCTCATCTGTCCCAATTCCCACCATGCTGGACTTCTTCCAGTTCGAGGAGACAGAGCTTTCTCTTGTCTCCAAGCCTTCACATTAGCAGCTTTCTCTTCTGGTTAGGACTGCCCACTCCCACCCTAGCTCCCTTTCCTCTGGTTAATTTTCACCTCTCCTCCAGTCTGAGTATAACTGGTACTTTCTCAGGGATACCCTTCCTGATTTCTGAACTGGCCCAGATCCCCCTGCTATGAGAATGCACAGCTTCCTGAAGGGCCCTGACAGAATGCAAGCCTGACACATCATCACACTCAGTAAATATCTGTTGAACAAATCAAAGAAATGCAGAAAAAAGAAAACCTAAAATACCAAGGGGTGCTGGATCTCCACAGGTTCTGAACTCCACCTTATTCTGTCACATGGAAGGAGAGAGGAGCAGCTCTGGCTGCAATGTATGGCATCAAGTAAAACAAATGATGGGAACTTACTTCAATAAGCGAATTGCGTGGCTAAAGCCATCACCTTCCACCTGTACACCTTGATGTGGAATCTCCAGATTGGACAACTGGAATAAGGAAAACACAGTTTAATCAGACCATCAATTTTATGAAGGAAACCACCTTTTCTAAGTACTCCCATCTATATTTTTGTTCTACGTTTACTCTGTCCCAAAATCACAACTTATTAGGCATGAGCATTGTCCTCCATCATTTGACTTCCTAGTAAAGTATATTAAGTCCAGTGAAACTCAAAGATGACCCCGAGCTTCTAGGTAAAAAAACACCTCCACAGGTGTGGGAGGGCGGGTGGGTAGGGAGGGAGAAGGGGATTGAGGGGTATTATGTTTAGTATACATGGTGTTGGGGATCACGGGGAGAACAGTGTAGCACAGAGAAGGCACATTGTGAATCTGTGGCATCTTGCTGCACTGATGGACAGTGACTGCGTTGGGGTATGGGTGGGGACTTGATAATATGGGTAAATGTAGTAACCACATTGTTTTTTCATGTGAAACCTTCTTAAGAGTGTATATCAGTAATACCTTAATAAAACAAACAAACAAACAAACAAAAAACACCTCCACAGGTGGCAAATCTTCAAAATTCGGGAGATTGACCTAATTTTTGCAGTAAGCCCAAAGTAACCCAGAATCAATTCTGGTGGTTTCAAATGATGCAACTATAAAATAAGACTGGCTTTCTTATTAAATTTAATTATGTTTGTTCAAAACAAAGTGAGTCACAGTCATACCTCACTTTTAATCACAATAATTTTTAGTTTAACATCTGGAATACATTTTTATCTTCAACAATTAAACTACTTCTTGTCTGAAACCCAAGTAGAAAAGATTTCTAGTTTATACATTTACACAATGAGATAGATACCTTTCCTAATTGGAGGATTCAGAAAGTGAGTTAAAAAGATGAAGGTAGAGATAGTGACTGAGACTCTATCAGTGGAACTACAGGTTATTTAGGTATGCCACAAAGTCATCTGAGCTACCAAAGAGAGATGCTTACCTTAGGCATATTCCCCAGTCTACTAGGGGAGACTATTTATACCCCATCGTGTTCCAGAAAGGATTTAAGTCAGCCCGAAGTATTTGACTGAGCCCTGCTCTTGGGCCTGAGAAGGGCAGAGGTTTAGAAAAACAGAAACTGACCAAATAGGCCATAGGAGTTGAGATTCAAAATTAAGCAAAGTGTGGGAGGGCTCAAAAATACTGCCTCTATTCTGTGGATCAGGGATATAAACATCCCTGATAAGGTTAGGTTTATTTATTTATATCTCAGGGTAAATCACTTTAAGCAGAAACTGTGCTTGCTTTTGTCTTCAACATATCTTTTTCATTAAGAAAAGAAAAAGTAGGATAAGTTTTTCAGAGCTTGATTGAGTTCGACAGAGCACTATAGAATGTTCTCACATGTCTTATGTGTCCAACAGTTATAGGAACAGAGAAGGGGGACAGAAAGGACATATGTCTACATGGTTAATCTATGTGGGCACTACAAAGACACAAGATTTTGTGATTTCTAGCCCGTAGGTTGTGGGAGAGAGACACTGCATTTCATGGCCCCTGGATATCATGTAGCCTCCCTTCCCACTGCAAAGGTAGTAACTATATGACATTCATGTAATCAGTCCACATGGCACAACAAAAAAGCCCAAGAATACAGTTAAGTAGAAAGGAATGCTGCCTGTACAGTTTAGGAGCTATGGCTAGTACCCAGACAAGAGGACATTCATTAAGCACACACACAGTTCTAGGAGCTGGGACACTGGGGACATGAGAGCCTATTTTAGGTGCCTGTTTCTAGGCTTCGATTTTCTCTGGGCTATTGCTGTTCTTTACAATTTCATTTCTTATCCTCTGCCTTTAGATCCCAAAGGTCTATAAAGCAAGGGTCAGCATACAATACAGTTCATGTGCCAAATCCAGCCCACTGCCTATCTTTGTAAATAAAGTGTTACTGGAACATAGACACACTTGTTTGTTTAAATATCAGCTATGGCTGGTTCACATTACAACAGCAGATTTGAATAGCTGTAATAAGAGACCATATGACCCTCAATGCCTATAATATTTACTATCTGGCCCTTTTCAGAAAAAGTTTGCGAATCCCTGCCCTAAAGCATGAAAGTCTTCCTAAGACTATCATTATCTGCTCAACTGAAATAATCTACTTCCATATTTCTAGGTCTCTTCTTCACTCATAATAATTTATAGAGGGGAGGAGTCTTACAAAAAGTAAAAATCTAAACTAGAGGGAAATAACTAAGGTTTTGGTGTATCACTTTTAAGGGTTGCTGATCCTTGGCCAAAGTACTTTTTTGAAATATAAAAATACAGGTTCTGTGATCTCCCTTTACTCTCCTATTTGGGGATCATACAGGATATCACAACTGTGTATTCCTGAAGACACAAATTCTCTATTAGTCTGTTGCTTCTGCCATGTGACCAAAGTAAAAATTTAGTTTAATATTCTTTCTAACCCGCTTCTCAGAAAGGAACACAATTTTATTAGGGTACAAGCAATATTTATGGTTTCACCAATTCAAAAATAAGCCACCCCTTTATAAACTAACCATCTCTAAGAGAGTTAAAAAATGTTCCTACTAAGAGGTATACAAGTAAGATGTTAATTCTCAAAAGTTGTCCCGTCCCTTTTTTTAAACCATGAAGATTTTATTTTCCATTTCCTTACAGAGCACAAGGCCCACAATTAGGAATCAGAGAAATGAAATAATTTAAGTCATGTTTTACACATATACCACGAGACACTGTAATTTCAATCCTACCCCTCCCAAAATAAACGAGATCACAACCATTCTGGTTCTCCTAATGGAATCTATGTAGCTTAAGCAAGGTATTCAAAAAAATTGCTTTCAGTTAGAGTACCCAAAATCATTCCAAAAAATTACCTCAGATCCAAGTCCTACAAATGGCATATTTGCATCACACATAGCAACAAAGTGAGCTAGAATTTTATCGAAGGCACGCATTTCTCCTGACGGCTTAGCTTTCTTGGATTCTGCAGGACATGGATCATCAGACAACTAGAATTTAAAAAAGAACACAAATGGGTAAAAAAATTGTGACTCAATTAGTTAAGGCAGCTAACAAAGCTCCCAGTTAACTAAAACGAAAGTTATTCATTCAACAAATATTTACTGAGCAAATACTGACTTAAACACTGGAAGTTTGGTGGTAAGTATTGTGTATTTAGCAAGTTTTCTTATGGAAAATGGTATACAATTATTAATTAAAAGGGAAGTATTTTAAGAAAATGGAGACAATTGTTACTTAAACCTTACTGCTGCCTAGTTTCTAAAAAACCCTATCTAATTCTTTCCCATATTAAAAATGGTTAAAGAACACAACAAAGTCAATGCACACCAATCCTGTGTCATCCATGCATGGTCATACCTTGTGCTTGGTACCGGTTCTAGGCTGCTTCCTACTTTTTGAACAAAAATCCGATTCCTGGATGCTGTTCTTGAACTGATGTAGCTGGAGTGCCATGACAGGGCCGTCTTCACGATCTACAGTATTCACAGACATGAAGTAGTACTTGTATAATAGCTTGGTGGGTTTATTGGGAACCTCCAACATTTCCACAACCTAAAATGGCCCAAATCAGAAATGAGACTCAGAGAAATAATTAGTAAGTGTTGGTATTTGCCTTCTTATATCAAGTAGGTCTCAGAATTATACATCTAATGTAGATCTAGTCTTTTTTCTTTAAACTAGGACAAATCAATTATGATCTGAAAAAAGCATTCCTAATATGTAATTCATTTTCCAAAAAATAGATCAGACTAAAGAATGATAAAGAAAAGCAACCATAAACTACAGGAAATGTGACATTTAGATATTAGCATTAGGTGTTCTTTTTTAAAAATGTTTCTTCTTTTAATTGGAATATAGCTGACATACAGTATTATATTGGTTTCAGGTATACAACATAGTGACTTGACAATTATAGACACTATTAAATGCTCACCACAATAAGTGTAGTTACTGTCAACATACAAAGATATTATGACATTATTGACCATTGTCCCTATGTTGTACATTCATTCCCATAACTAATTTATTTTATAATTAGAAGTTTGTACCTCTTCACCCCATTCACCTATTTCACCCATTGCCCTACCCCGTTCAATCATTAGGTGTTTTGATATTCACACCTTAACTAATAAATTGAAAACATTTTATGCTTAAGCCCAGCAGGTCTGCTAGATTTTCTAGAATGGTATGTATTTTAGATTGCCCTGCTATGTCCTTTAACCATTAAAACATCCTAAGAATTCCACTATTGTGATAGAGAAAAATGACCACTATCTCTCACTATTGGAAGCATATAAAAATAAACCCAGATTTTTTAGCTGAAAACTATGGTCACTGTGAGAATAAGGTTAACAACATCAACAGTGGTTAACATTGATATAGAGCTAACTATGTGCCATGAACTATCCAAGTACCTGACAGATGTTAACACATTTAATCCTCCTAATGACTCTGTGAAGTAGGATTACCTTCACTTTTTTGATGAGGAAACTGAGACACAAAATAATTAGGACTCAGAGCTAAGAAGTAATAAACTCATGCTTTCATCCCAAAAGTTTGGCTCTGGAGACCTGCTCTTACCCACTGTATCACCTTAGTATTTTCAAGGTCTACCTGAAATTTAAGAAAAGTCCTCTGAATACTTCAGTGAGAGAAATAAATACAATTGACCAAGGCACTTGACAAACACACACTTCTCTGTCTCTCTTCCTGCCCTTCTCTATCTCCTTCCCTCCTTCCCACACACTCTCTTCAGGAAATTGTTTGGCCAACACCTAAGCATCACACTGATGCATCTGAGGAAATGGAATTAAAAGTAAAATGGACACTTCACCAAAGAAGATATATAGATGGCAAATAAGCACATGAAAAGATATTCAACATCATCAATCATTAGGGCAGCATAAATTAAGACTACAATAAAATACTCCTACATATCTATCAGAATGGCTAAAATTAAAAAAAAAATCTAATATGAAGAGCTGGCAAGATTGTGGAGCACCCAAAACTTTCACATATTGCTGGCAGGAATGTAAAATGGTCCAGCCACTTTGGAAAACAGTTTAGCAGTTTCTTATAAAGCTAAACATACACTTACCATATGACCCAACAATCTCCCTCCTAGGTACTTATCCAAAAGAAAGGAAAACTGAAGTTTACAAAAAAAGAAAAACTCGATATGCAAATACTTAGAGCAGCTTTATTCATAATTGCCCAAAACTGGAAGCAACCCAGATGCCCTGCAATGGGAGACTGGTTAAACAAACTGTGGTACATACATACCATGGAATACTACTCAGCAATAAAAGGAATGAACTATTATTATACACACAAAAATATGGATGAAAATCAAAGACGACATGCTGAGTGAAAGAAACTATAGACTGAAAGGCAAAACTTGAGAGAAAACAGGTCAGTGGTCACTAGCTTAGAGTGAGGGAAGGGTCTGATTATAAAGGGGCGGCATGAGGGAATTCTGGGGGTTAATCTGTTCTGTTGAAATGGGGATTATGAAACTTAAAACTCAAACACTAAAAAGTTTGAATTTTTACTGTATGTGAATTCTATCCTAAAGCTGATAAAAGTAAAATGGCAGGAAGACCTTTAAAGGCAACAAGGCTTTCTTCTGTTCTTCTTAATGTCCACTGGTAGTTTTTTCCACTTCCATGACTGTATATCCCTAAGTGACAAACATGGAGGACGAAGAGTAGCGTACATTCAGTTTTGGTCTAAAGTATGTGAAACAAATTATGCATTGCTTCAAAATAAATCAGTAGTCACTGAAGCTAATGCCTGGCTTTTGGATGATACTAAATAAGTTCAGAAAATAATAAATTATAACCACTTTATTTTGTGTGTGACTGAGTATGAGATATTTTGTGTTCACATGTTTTGGTTACTATTACTACGCGTGTATCATGCATATCATTCCAAATGTAGCTCATGGAGGACTTAATCAACAATCTTTTGTCACGTGCCAAATCTAGTTCCACCGCTGGTATTCAGAAGAAAAATGGAATTCACATCAAAGACAGATTTATTAGTCTACATAAATAACCTTAAGTTCTGATATGTCAGGCTACATGGGGTACCTTTTAATATATTCTCTTTTAAAAGTACAGCAGGAAACCTTAAAAATTCACTCCCATTACCTTCAACCAACAATCCCGAATTAAGTTTTTCAAAGACCTTAGATTCTTATCCAGAAGTATCTATTTGGTAGACATAGAAATTCCTATAAGCAGGGAAGTATATTTAGGGTGAACTCATATTTCAAATTCTTGCAAATTTTAACAAATCCAAAACATCTCAAAGAAACTAACTGGAAAACACCAAGATTGAAAAAGGAATAAGAGGATCTTACGGTGCACTGAAAGGTACATGCAGTCAATGAAATGGATATAATGCCTTCAATCAATTAAGGATGAGAAAGCTACTTCAGGCAGCCCATATTTAAGCAGCTGCATTATTCAAGTTAACATGTACTTAAAACCAAAAGATCTAACTAAACCTTCACTATAGTTGCTTTCAATTTTTTTTAAATTCAGAGATGTGTTTTTCTAAGCAGATACTAGGCTCACTGTGGGAGACATCCTAGGTTGAGGGATGGGGGCATACCTTTTATTTCCCAACCATGACCAATACCATTATAGCACTTCTTAGAGACATGACTTTCCTCTCTCTCTCTCTACCTCCTGGGTTGAGAATCACTATATGAAAGTCAAATATCCAATAAAATACATTTGCAAATTAAATTAAATAAAATTATTCAAGATACTAATAGAATTACTGAACTCGATCCCCCAAATCACCTCTTTGCATACTTACAATGTAGTATTGTGGAAGACGGGTAAGTTTAATGAATAGCTTATTCTTAGAAAGGCTTCCAATAGGATGGGTAGAGTAATTGGACAGCTGCAATGTTTCACTGCTTATTGTAGGCAAATGTTTTATAGACTGTTTGCAACGTTGTTGTCCAAGCCAAAACCTTAATTTAAAAGAGATAATCCACATCATAAAATCATAGATTTCTCTGATTAACTGTGTGCTGTTGACTTATAAATAAAACTAACTAGTATTAAGGCTGAGACACTATATCAGTTTATTACAGATTTCCTATGTTCATAATACAGCAAAAACTCATCTCAAACTACTTTATGAAAATGCCTGAAGTGTTTATAAAATAAAAAAGAACAAATAAATAAAAAAGTAGCTCATTTTTTTGGTATAACTGAAAATATATAGTCTCAGTTTTTATACTGTATATGTGTAAAGTGATGGGCATACCTAGTAGGTGCCAGTAAGTATTAATTACCTTCTTTCCCTGCTTTTAGGTAAGCCACCGGATTTCACTTTGATGGTTATGTTTTTATAGTATTCCTCTCATTCTTTTTATCTGAATATCTATCCTTGAGGCTAGGTCACTATATGATATGTGAAAAAGGGATAAAATGATTGGTTCAGAAACTCACTGCTCCACAATGAGATTAACTACAGAAAATAATACATATTTAGAAACTTTTCATAGCAACATAACAATGCTACACCATTTAAGCTCATGATCAGCAGGTTCACCTTGTTGAAGAGGATATATAGACCAGTTAGGGTGCTGCTGCCTGTGTATTGTGAGCTGCAAGTGGTACAAACTGTGTTGGTACAAACTGTGTACTAGTCATGTGCTGTAAAACCATGCTACATAACATGACATTTTAAGGGTAGTTTGTCAACAATCACCGAAATATATAAAATCTGGAAAACATTTTTTTCTTGGAAAAACTACTTAAATTTAACTGCAACTTCACAGAATCAATTGCTAGAACTGGTTACTAATGAAGGAATAAAGATACATTTTGAAAATATGCCAATACTTGCTTCATTTTACATAAAAGTTAAAAATGAATATCCTGAACTTGATAAAATTGCTTTCAAAGAAAAAGCATTTTTTAAATGTTTAAAAAACATGAACGTGAGAAGAAAACAGTAAGAAAAACATAGGGAAAGTTAAGACGTGTTATCTCCCGTGATTAGCATCATCAATCCAACTTAGATTAAGTTACAAGCAAGAAACAAGCTCATTTGTCACATTAAAATTCTAAATACAAGATATGATAAATATACATAAAGTATATATAATTATAAATACAAGGTATTCTTTTCAAAGCATGTATGGAATTGCTATTTTACTCAACTTTTTATTTTGTCATGAATTAGTGGAACAAAAAATTTGAACGGAAAAGTGAATTTTCTATATTAACTGCCTATATGTACACTTTCAATGAAAAACATGTACAGGTTCAGAATTTTCTATTCTTTTTTTATATTGTTTGCTCTGATCACATTTATTGAAATGTAGTTTTATGTCGGTTGACTCTACTAATAAATTGCAGCTTATATTTTGTACATTTTTTCATTTCCCTTTTCTAGAATTTGTTTTCATTGTATATTATAAAAAAGTAATCACATGAATAGATGCTCAACATCATTAGTCATTAGAGAAACATAAATAAACCACAATGAAATACCTCATCATACTCAACTAAGGTGGCTGCAGCCAAAGGCAGTTGTAAGTGTTGCCAAGGATGCAGAGAAATGGGAACCCTTATATGTTGCTGAAGGAAACATAAAATCACACAGCTACGTTGGAAACTAGTCTGTCAGTTTCTTTAGAAAGTTAAACATAAACTTACTGTATTACTCAGCAATTCCACTCCTCATGGACTGAAAATCTAAGTCCACATAAAGACTTGTACACACATATTCATAGCAGCACTATTCATAATAGCCAGAAAGCAGAAACAACCAAATGTCAATCAGCTGATGAATGGAAAAACAAATCCATACAGTGGAGTATTATTCAGCTATAGAAAGGAACAAAGTACTGTCACATGCTACAATATGGATGAACACTGAAACATTATGCTAAGTGAAAGAAGCCAATCACAAAAGACCACATACTTCAGGATTCCATTTATATGAAATGTCCAAATGGAAATCTACAGAAACAAAAAGCAGATTCATAGTTGCCTAGGGCTGAGGCTAGGAATGGGGATTAATTATAAAGTAGCACATTTGTGAGGGGATAGAAATGTTTTAAATGTTCTAAAACTAGATTGTTTATTGCAAAATTTGGTAAATTTACTACAAGTCATTAAACTGTACAGTTAAAGTGGGTGAATTTTATGGTGTGTAAATTATACTTCAGTGGCTATTTCAAAAAGATTAATGTCCCATGATAGATTAGTGATAAACTAGTCATTCACTAAAGATCATTTGAGAAGCACTATTATAAGTGACAACCAGGAGACCTTTCTTCTTTATGTGAGTTTAGGGTACAGACATGCATGTTGATAAACTTCAGGCTTTGAGGACTTAGCTTTCTGGTGTTAGGGTATATTTCTGCTAGCTGGAACTGCCAGATAAACAACCTCAAGTTATGCAAGATCTGAGTTATTAAGCATATAAGTATTTAAACACTGCTTATTTAGCTAAAATGCAGAAAAAATGATGCTAAACCACTAACACCTTTAGAAATTGTTACCAAGAGTAATGACTATCATTTTTCATCTACACATAAACTAAACAGCTGTTCAGAAGAAAGGGCATATATTATCTATCTAAGGGCATTAAAAAGCCATGTCCTTTTAAAGAAAAAATTACTAGATTATACTGAATTCTTCAAATATTTACAAAAACAAAACAGGTAAAAGGAGAAGGATTGGCTGGCTAGAAGATCACAAAATCAACAGATCTCAGGAACCAAACTCATTTGGTACTTGTCTTTCTCCACCTGGCTTATTTCACTGAGCTCAACATTAGCCTCCCTCTCCTCCATCTGCCAGTTTTGGCTTTAATCTCTGAAATTTATTTTTATACCTTGGAATTTGTTTAATTTTTTTAAAGTTGACTCTTCTGAAGGTGCCAGCTTGTAGATTCATACCATGAAGATTATCCTGGGTAAGAACAGAAAAGACTCTACTGCACCAAATACTACATACAATTTAAAATTGTTTTATCATGTTATTTGTAAAATGCTTGTACAGGAAAACACATGATAAGCAACTAAGTGCCAAAAGGTGCTCAAATTTCATATCATAAACATTAAAGACAGTGATGATAAAGAGTAATGATGAAGAAAATATCTTGTCAAAATAAGTTTCTATTTTTAGTCTTGAGCTACCAAATAAATAAGCTTACTTAAGTTGTTGAATCCAAGGAACGATCCTTTTCATATCATCATTCACAGACTTCTCCATGTCATCCAGTGTGGCCTGGTCTACAGAATAAAGCACTTCATTTATTAACTGCTTACACAAGACACAAAATATCTAGGTAGCCCAAAGCTTAAATGAAAATTACTGTTTTAGGCAGAAAGTAGTGTTATTTTTGACTCAGAGAAAAATAAATCCATCATTAGGTGTAAATTAACCTGACTTGTTTTCCCTCTTTAACATCTAGAGAGAGTTATAGTTAAGACAACTAATTAATAGCAAATGTACATTAGCAGGAAGAACAAGTAGCAAGATATGAATTAATTCTTTGCCCATATTTTAACTCCCAAACTCTCAGTCCAGTTAACTGAGAGCAATTACATGAGCAACACTGTGGTCACTAGATTCCCCCCATTATCAAGTCCCCACCAGATACCCCATTACATCAGCATAGTAAGATGCTATAGAGTCACTACTTTTCTTCTCTGCGCTATACTGCCTTCCTGGTGGCGCCCCGCTACATTATGTGTGCTAATCGTAATGCCCCTTATCCCTCCCTTCCCACCTATCCTTCCCAGCCCCTTTCCTTTTGGTAACTGTGAGTCCATTCTTGAGTTCTGTGAGTCTGCTGCTGTTTTGTTCCTTCAGTTTTGCTTTGTTCTTATACGCCACAGATGAGTGAAATCATTTGGTACTTGTCTTTCTCTGCCTGGCTTATTTCACTGAGCACAATACCCTCTAGCTCCATCCATGTTGTTGCAAATGGTAGGAGTTGTTTTCTTCTTATGGCTGAATAATATTCCATTATGTATATGTATCACATCTTCTTTATCCATTTATCTACTGATGGACACTTAGGTTGCTTCCATTTCTTGGCTATTGTAAATAGTGTTGCAATAAACATAAGGGTGCATGTGTCTTTTTCAAACTGGGCTGCTGCATTCTTAGGGCAAATTCCTAGGAGTGGAATTACTGGGTCAGATGGTATGAGGAACCTCCATACTGCTTTCCACAATGGTTGAACTAATTTACATTCCCACCAGCAGTGTAGGAGGGTTCCCCTTTCTCCACATCCTTGCCAACATTTGTTGTTGTTTGTCTTTTGGATGTTGGCCATTGTAACTGGTGTGAGGTGATAGCTCATTGTGGTTTTTTTTTGCAGTTTATTTATTTTATTTTATTTTTTTTGAAGGTTTTTTGTTAAATTTTTTATTAAGGTATGATTGATATACACTCTTATGAAGGCTTCACATGAAATGTGGTTACTACATTTACCCATATTATCAAGTCCCCACCCATACCCCAATGCAGTCACTGTCCATCAGTACAGCAAGATGCCAGAGATCCACTATGTCTCTTCTCTGTGATACAGTTCTCCCCATGATCCCCCACACCATGTGTACTAAACATAATACCCCTCAGTCCCCTTCTCCCTCCCTCCCCAACTGCCCTCCCACACCCCTCCCCTTTGGTAACCACTAGTTCATTCTTGGAGTCTCTGAGTCTGCTGCCATTTTGTTCCTTCAGTTTTGCTTCATTCTTATACTCCACAAATGAGGGAAATCATTTGGTATTTGTCTTTCTCTGCCTGGCTTATTTCACTGAGTATAATGTCCTCCAGCTCCATCCATGTTGTTGCAAATGGTAGGATTTGTTTTCTTCTTATGGCTGAATAGTATTCCATTGTATATATGTACCACATCTTCTTTATCCATTCATCTACTGATGGACACTTAGGTTGCTTCCATTTCTTGGCTATTGTAAATAGTGTTGCAATAAACATAGGGGTGCATATGTCTTTTTCAAACTGGGCTGCTGCATTCTTAGGGTAAATTCCTAGGAGTGGAATTCCTGGGTCAGATGGTATGAGGAACCTCCATACTGCTTTCCACAATGGTTGAACTAATTTATATTCCCACCAGCAGTGTAGGAGGGTTCCCTTTTCTCCACATCCTTGCCAACATTTGCTATTGTTTGTCTTTTGGATGTTGGCCATTGTAACTGGTGTGAGGTGATATCTCATTGTGGTTTTAATTTGCATTTCTTTGATGATTAGCGATGTGGAGCATCTTTTCATGTGCTTGTTGGCCATCTGAATTTCTTCTTTGGAGAACTGTCTGTTCAGATCGTCTGCCCATTTTTTAACTGGATTATTTGCTTTTTGTTTGTTGAGGTGCATGAGCTCTTTATATATTTTGGATGTCAACCCCTTATTGAATATGTCATTTATGAATATATTCTCCCATACCATAGGAAGCCTTTTTGTTCTACTGACAGTGTCCTTTGCTGTACAGAAGCTTTTCAGCTTGATGTAGTCCCACTTGTTCATTTTTGCTTTTGTTTCCCTTGCCCGGGGAGATATGTTCATGAAGAAGTTGCTCATGTTTATATTCAAGGGAGTTTTGCCTATGTTTTCTTCTAAGACTTTTATGATTTCATGACTTACATTCAGGTTTTTGATCCATTTTGAGTTTACTTTTGTGTATGGACAGTAATCCACTTTCATTCTCTTACATGTAGCTGTCCAGTTTTGCTAAAACCAGCTGTTGAAGAGGCTGTCATTCCCTCATTGTATATCCATGGCTCCTTTATCATATATTAATTGACCATATGTGTTTGGGTTAATGTCTGGAGTCTCTATTCTGTTCCACTGGTCTGTGGGTCTGTTCTTGTGCCAGTACCACATTGTCTTGATTATTGTGGCTTTGTGGTTGAGCTTGAAGTCGGGAAGTGAGATCCCCCCTGCTTTATTCTTCCTTCTCAGGATTGCTTTGGCTATTTGAGGTCTTTTGTGGTTGCATATGAATTTTAAGGAAGAGAGCCCTCCATACAAGTCAACCATTTTGGCAACCAGATCTCAGACTTGCCACAGCCAGAACTGCGAGAAAATTAATTTCTGTTGTTAAGCCACTCTGTGGTTTTGTTATAGCAGCCTGAGCTAAAACAAGCATATATCCCCTAAAATAACAATGATTGCCAATAGGTAACTATTTTTTGCTTCTTCCCCCATTTTTACATTTTAGGTTTTTATTTATGAGTGTATACTATGTTAATAATCAAGAAAATAGTTAAAATAAAAAGTCTTGAAGAATAAACAATTGCTTTGCTGATTTAGGACCCATCGTCATAAGATAACTCATGAATGAGTCATATCATTTAGGTATCATAAATGTGATGTGATTCAAAGCAATGAGGACAGCTTTCCATGAGCAGTTGAAAGAAAATCTATCTTTACAGCCATATACTATAACCAGAAAACCTTTTACTGTCATCAAACTATCTTGCTTAATAGTAATTTCAAATAGTAAATGTGCTAACATATTCAAGAACAGTGTTCCATTAGCAATACAAAAACTACGTTCCTAATATTTCATCATTTCAGAATAACAACTTGGTAATTGAACATGTTAGAAATCAAACCTTAATTTCTATTGTGTTTAAGGCAGAAAAAAATCCTTTCCTCCAGGGTTCTGTATCCCAAGTCATCTTAGATGTTTTTACTGTCATAAATATGTTCTTCAGCCATTAAAGACATTAGAATCCCTTGGAGTCATTTCCATGTCACCCAACTATTAGTGATAAAATAGCTAACCTAAAATCAGTCATCAACATTATTACTTTTACATAAGAGAAACAGCATGAATGCACTTGATACTGGAAAGTTTAACTTTTGGTGCAAGAAAATTTAAAGTAGAATTAAAATGGGCCCAAAGGAACAGATGTCAGCCAGTTTATTCCTTCCATATCTACTTTCTACATTGCTTATACCATCACCCCTCCCCTAATATATAATGGCAGGAACTTTTTATTTTGCTTTTGTTTCAAATATTTTTCCTTATACTGAGTGACTGTATCATCTAGTAACTTACCAATTCCATAAAGCATCAATTGGAACATTCCAGAGTGCAAATCTACAAAAATGTGTAGACACTCCGAATTACCACAAGGCTCCAAGATGGGAACAACGAGAGCTGGAAGTGCAGTCTCTATGGAAGCTGAACAATTAAGAATTAAAAATTATATTTCTATCTGAATATTAATAAAAAATTATTTCTCAGTGAGTAGAAACAACCAACTATAGAACCATCCTGAATGTTAGAGGAAAACCATGATTTTGTGAAACTGGAATAGTACTAATATGTCAATTAATAGCTTGAATGAAGAATGTAATCTTCAAGATGACTTGAAACAAACATACCCATCTCAAATATTACAGCAAAAAAAATTCCAAGATTTCTTTAAAAAGGTTTAAGATAGCTAGTGAAAATTTAACCCCACAGTGAGCTGAGTTTCAGTTTTGCTTTCACTCAGTAATTACTAATAATTCACTTTCTTAAGGATCTTCTTTTTGACATAGTGGGAAGAAAATTAGTTGTTTGGTAAATAGGATAAATTTCATCTATGGCCTAAATATTTTCAATGCTATTCTTCATAAAGAGAGGTTTTCTGGTAATTAGAGCCCATGTGTTTAAAGAAACACTTGAAACTTATTTAATGTTATTGATTATACTGGAAAATTTTTTAGTTATTTTTTATATACGTCATTTTCAAGCCACAGATGAAATAAGAACACATAGGCAATTGCTGAAAACAAATTCCCAAAGCTGCCAATATATTTGTTCTAGAGTTTCATAGTAATTCTACAAGGCCCAATTAACTTTTCCCTTAATCCCATAAGTTGGCAAAACAAAATCCAGTGAATGAGCAAAGCATTGAAAGCACGCCACATGCTTATCAGATTAAGGAGATGTAAAAGGAATATGCTCTTCTGGTTACCACGTTCCTCTAAGCTACAGCACAGAAGAAAGACAGGTAGTAGGGAGAGTGGTAATGCAGGCACAGCCTTTCACCAGGTGTGACTTCTCTGTGCTACTTTGTTAAACAAGGACAGTAACATCTTCCTGTCCATGCCACGGGTCCTTAGGAGGAGGAAATAACAAGTTTGTAATGCTGCCTTCAAAACCAAAGTGCTCAACAATGTACATTATCTGTACTCCTTTATGAGCCAAAGAAACAAATTAAAACCTCCTATTATGAATTTTCAGTAATTAAAACGGGTAAAGTTACCACTGGTACTGTCTATACAAATGATCAAACAAATAAAGCAACAAGATTGCAGGAGACATATTTAACCAAATGAAAAAAAGTTGATTTTAAGTATCTAAAACATATTTGTATACAAGTGGTTAACGTTCAGGTCCAGCAGAACTCTCACATAAAACAAATGAACAAAACACCAAACAAGACAGAACAAAAACCAAAAACCAGAAAGGCACAAACAGGAATATTTTATGATATTTTATAATTCAGACCAGTGCAACAAATTAGTTCAAATCATATTTTGCTGACTTTACTGTTTTAATATAATAAAAAGTGCTTACAGACGTGAACCAGGGTTGCTGATTCTTAAAACATATGTATCTATACTGTTATAATTCCTAGTGTGATAAGGATATATTAACTATTTTTAAAATGTAGCCATGGTGTAAAACTAGTTTTGACAGTTGGGATAACAATTATAATTTCCATCTGTCAAAACTAAGTACTATTGAAAAAAACAGGGCATCAGAGAAGAATACATAACACCATCCAAACGATAGAAGATACTTGGATGTATATCTCTGAATGTATTTTATGACCACCAATGCCCATATTTTTCTCCACAGAAAATAAAATATATAAGGCCCTAAGCATTTAAAGGCAATAGGTTTTAGGGTATCCAAAAATGGAGAAACTTATGAAGAAAATATTGAAGGGAGAATTAAAGGATGTGGTAGATGGTAGGGCTGAACACTGCTTTTTCCTGCAGCAGTAATATATACCTATCTCCTCTTTTATTTCTATCTCTTTATTGAGGACAAGATGAAGAATGGACCAACAGACAGTAACATAAAGTGTGAAGACTGAAGAAAAGCAACTAAGCCCAATTTGCAATGACTGTGTGTGGCTCACTGCTTCCAAACTGATTTTGATACCCTAATTCTGGTACAGACAGAGTACAATACAAGGGAGAGTGCCTGGCTTTCAAGAGTCAGGCAATGCTGCAAAATGGACCACACTGCAAGTTACCTTTAGTGCCTTGCACTGCCTTTGTGAATTTCTCTCCAAGTCCTGCCTACTCTTCCCTGAGGCATTCCCACCCCCACTTCCCACTCTCAAAAGACCACATGCTGCCATCTGAGCTGTCCAAAGCCCACTGTCTGTAGATTCATTCCCCTAGCCCCCTTTGAAATGTTCCATTCTCCAAGCTACTCATTTCCTCAACTTATTTCAGGGAGGAGCTGTAAGAAAAGCCAGGTGATTGCACTAAGGGATTCCAAGAACAGTCCCTGGTACCAGTAAAAGATCTGCCTAAAGCATGCTTTCCTATCACAAAAGATTATCAAGTAAGACTACATGAAAAGTATAAACACATGAACATGAATTTAAAAAACAAGTTAAGGGAGAGGAGCCATGATGGCGGCGTGAGTAGGGCAGTGGAAATATCCTCCCAAAACCATATATATTTTTGAAAATACAACAAATACAACTATCCCTAAAAGTGAGATGAGAAGATACAGTACAACAAACAGGCTACATCTACACCTGCGAGAACCCAGTGCCTCACGAAGGCGGTAAGATACAAGACACAGCCCGGCGGAACCCAAGCATGCCCCTGACCCCAGCTCCCCAGCGGGAGGAGAGGAGTCGGAGCAGGGAGAGAGAGGGAGCTCAAGACTGCTAAATACCCAGCCCTAGCCATCCGCACTGGAAGGACAGACACACAGTGCATGGTGGGCTGGATATTAGGGAAACGGAACAGTAAAACCTGAGAGTGGGTTCTCACAGCCGGCACCCCAGGGAGAAAAGTGCCTTTTGAAAGTCTTAAAGGAACAGGAACCTCACAGCTGGATGGAAGCATCCCGGAACACTCAGCGCAGCAGCTGGGAAACCCAGGGAACTCCGGGAGCCCTAACCCCCTGGGCAGCAGTGCAGCTCTGAGGTCCCTCACAGCAATAAACACACTCCCTCCCGCCTGTTCCCCCTCCAGCCTGGACCCGCCACAGTGGAGCAGCAGCCTGAGACCGGCCACACCCACAGCAGCCGCACAGAGCCTCCTGCACAGCCACCCGGGACAGAATCAGAGACCCCGTTGCCGCGCAGCTGCACAACACAAGTCGCCGTTCTTGAAGGAGAGGAAGGTGATGAGCAAGCCGGAAGAGACTTTGTTCTCAAAGCTGACACACGTGCCAACTGCCCACAACTACGTCTATCTTTTCTGATACAGAAAAGAATAACCTAGACATCCCCTGAGAAGGAACCTGGGGAGATAGATTTAAGCAATCGTTCTGAAAAAGAATTCAAAATAACGTTCATAACAATGCTGATGGAGCTGCAGAGAAAAATGCAAAAGCTAACAGATAAAGTTGGGAGGGAGAATACAGAAATAAAAAAATCTCTGGAAGGACTTAAGAGTAGACTGGATGAGGTGCAAGAGGTCATTAATGGAATAGAAATCAGACAACAGGAACACAGAGAAGCTTAGGCAGAGAGAGATAAAAGGATCTCCAGGAATGAAAGATTAAGAGAACTGTGTGACCAATCCAAACGGAACAATATCCGCATTATAGGGGTACCAGAAGAAGAAGAGAGAGAAAAAGGGATAGAAAGTGTATTTAAAGAAATAATTGCTGAAAACTTCCCCAAACTGGGGGAGGAAATAGTCGCTCAGACCATGGAAGCACACAGAACTTCCAAAAGAAGGGACCCAAGGAAGACAACACCAAGACACATAATAACTAAAATGGCAAAGATCAAGGACAAGGACAGAGTACTAAAGGCAGCCAGAGAGAGAAAAAAGGTCACCTACAAAGGAAAACCCATCAGGCCATCATCAGACTGCTCAACAGAAACCTTACAGGCCAGAAGAGAGTGGCATGATATATTTAATGCAATGAAACAGAAGGGCCTTGAACCAAGAATAGTGTGTCCAGCACGATTATCATTTAAATATGAAGGAGGGATTAAACAATTCCCAGACAAGCAAAAGTTGAGGGAATTTGCCTCCCACAAACCACCTCTACAGGGAATCTTACAGGGACTGCTCTAGGTGGGAGCACTCTTAAGGCTAAATAGATGTCACCAGAGAAAATAAAATCACACCAACCAAATACTAACTAAAGGCAAAAAATAAAATCAACTACCCACAAAAGCAGTTAAAGGAAACACAAAAGGGCACAAAATAGAACACCTAACATACAAAGAATGGAGGAGGAGGAATAAGAAGGGAGAGAAATAAAGAATCATCAGACTGTGTTTATAATAGCTCAGTAAGTGACCTAAGTTAGATGGTAAGACAGTAAAGATGCTAAACTTCAACCTTTGGTAACCAAGAATCTAAAGCCTGCAATGGCAATAAGTATATATCTTTCAATAATCACCCTAAATGTAAATGGACTGAATGCACCAATCAAAAGACACAGAGTAATAGAATGGATAAAAAAGAAGACCCATCTATATGCTGCTTATAAGAGACTCACCTCAAACCCAAAGACATACACAGACTAAGTCAAGGGATGGAAAAAGATATTTCATGCAACAACAAAGAGAAAAAAGCAGGTATGGCAGTACTAGTATTAGACAGAATAGACTTCAAAACAAAGAAAGTAACAAGAGATAATGAAGAACACTACATAATGATAAAGGGGTCAGTCCAACAAGAGGATATAACCATTATAAATATATATGCACCCAATACAGGAGCACCAACGTATGTGAAACAAATACTAACAGAATTAAAGGAGGAAATAGAATGCAATGCATTCATTTTAGGAGACTT